AGCTCACTAACGAGAAAGATTTACATCATTAATTTTCACAAAAATTAGATAAAAAAATCCCAAATTTTACAAAACTAGATCAAAAGGTCAAGTATTACAAAATAAGACCACATTTTTCGACCTACCGGTACATGTAAGCCATACAAATCCACTTGCCAGTCGAATTATAATTTGTTCAATCCCACGCCAAAGCATTAGACACACAAATTTTTCGTAAGCACCGAAGCTTCACTCCTAATATTGGCTACACTACCAGAATTGTCCCATTGATCTTTTTCCCGGGGGGAACCGTGTATTCCATAATACCGATTCCAGAATTCATTTCAGAGATGCCATAAAGTAGAACGCCTTGAGGCCACTCGTGCCCTCCTTTTAATGACTGCAGATTTTCTGCCAGTTGAACTGGTGCGCTATGTTTCTAGTGTCTTTTTCGTAACTGAATGCCTTAGGCCTGTGGAAGTGCTGAAAACAGTGCCAAGTGCCTAGCATGTTCACAAGAGAAATATTAACATTATATACAGTATCCAATATACAGGGTGGATTAAAAAAAAACCGAAACTGAGATATTATTGCTAATTGGAACAGAAGTAGGGTACATGTGAATCAAAGGGAGATATCCTCTGTTAGGGTTGAATCTCCTCTTTAAAATGACACCCTGATAATGTCCTTACATTCACGGTTGACTGAGCAGAGACCAATTTTATGAAAGGGTCTAATTTAGAGCCTTGCGCCACTTTTCATGGTGAAATCTCTTTTTCCCCCACCTGCCTTGATTGGCAACCATAGCCTTTCACTCTGTGACAAATGACACCACAAAAGCCTCAATGCCTCTAAATAGACCCTTTCATGAAATTGGTCACTGCTCAGTCAACCGTGAATGTAATGACATGATCAGGGTGTCATATTTAAGAAGAGATTCAACCCTAACAGAGGATATCTCCCTTTGATTCACATGTGCCCTACTTCTGTTCCAATTAGCAATAATATCTTGGTTTCGTTTTTTTTATCCACCCTGTATATGTATGTCGCCTCACGTTTCTTATGTTAATCGCACGACAAAAGGAGCCCAAGTTCGAATAGAAAAAAAAAATGGGAAGTCTATCCCAACTCTATCATGACATGTATTTTTTCATGAACACAAGATTGCATTTGGTCAAGTACACGTCTCAAATTCAATTGTTGCGCGATTGATGCAGATCGTCTAACAGAAATGTATCTATGATCTTGTAAAGACAAAAAAAAATCCCACATACAAGCTTTAAGAATAAAAAAAATCCACACTTGTAAGTTATTTGCTGATTGTTTGTCAGAACGTACGGGTCAAAGAAACACAGGGTAAGGAAGAAATTGTCTTCATGGCGGTTGTTACATGTATTATGTAGAACATACGTGAATATTCATTGTAAAACACAGCAGTCGTTGTAAACACAAAACAAATGTCGGTATGCAAAAAGTGTACGTTTTCTCCGCAGTAGTTACAAAGATGAACTTTGACGAGTTATTGTTACATGTTAATAGTAACCATTACGTCATCAGGTAACAAGTTCCAGAAATACCCTATGAGCACACGCTTAACCAAATTTATGCTGTACAAAACCATGCAATTAAGTAATCCTTTTTTCTGGGGGAAAAAATGTCTGTCACTCAGCAGTAAATAGAACAAAAAAAACCTGCACCCTCATACAGGCAATTATCCTAGGATTAGCCTAAGGCCAGTGACGTGCACTTGTCCACTAAACGAGTTATCTACCAATGATTTGTCTTGCGTTACAAGCACCCAGGGATAGGAATGGGGGGGGGGATCTCTTATGCTATTTGGAAGTCAACAAGGCAGAATGTATTATTACAGAAAACGAGATTTGAATTCTCAGCAGAATCCACACTGAATCAACCCAAATTGTGGGTGTTTTTTTCAGGGGGGGGGTTTGAAAACCAAATATTTCTATCATTTTTCAGTTCAAATTAAAATTACAGAATATTTTTGTGGATAAAAATTGTGGAGTAGCTTCTATACTGCCCTCTGGAGGCAATATGGAATTTCATGGGTATAAATTGTGCATGTACCGAGTCAAATTATGTTCATTTGCTAAGCGGAAACGCCTCTCACTCGATTTTCGCTAAAAATCTGTTAAAAAAAAAAAAAAAAAAATCAAATTTAGTGAAGCAAGTGTTCATGGAGTAATTGTTTCTCTGATTAAACCTACATCTCGTGAAGTTTCCTCTAAATTTCCAGAAGAAATGTGATAACGATCATTCTCATCGATTAGTTGGACCACCTGCTCCACAAAGCCTAGCTTCTTTGTTTTTATCCCGTTTCCCGTGATCATTTAGTACTAGGTTTGTTATGTTATCTTAAAGTTGCTCTCCCCGTGCTGTTTGTGAGTTTCACTCCGAAAAAAAAAACAGATTTTGTTTTTTTAAATTACCGGTGCTTTTTTTCTAGCTAAACAAAAGTTAATCCTTTCTAAATGAGAAATCCAGCCAAACAAATCTGCTCAAGCTTAGTTATTGAATTATAACTCACATATTTTGCCGTCAAACAATAACTCCTGTATACTTTTGTGCAATATGGTCACAAAAACAACATGAAATAAAAACATTTTGTTCAGAGGGTTTAAACTGTCCCGAATAATTTTTTAAGGGTTTTATTTTTTTTTTAAATTTTAATAACATATACAAATTGAAAAGTTGTTATGAGAATAAAATGAATATGCTGAAGACCACAGGTTGAGCAACTTTAAACAATATGCATATCCTAGAGGGTTCTTCAATCCTTAAATCTCTTCCATCGGGAATTGAATTTGGACACACATTTTGCTTTGCAAACCAGATTACAAGCAGATGTACGTAGAAGATGATTGTGATCTACATGTAGGGCACGTATTGTACTTGTATTGATTTAACATCCTGCGTGGACTGTCTGTTATTGCATGTGCAGTAGTGAAGTCGCAGGGTGTATGGATGCGCTTTTTCAAATCAAACGATACCCGAGGTAAAAGGGTCAGCCATTTTTTCTTCTTCTTCCAACGAGTTACTTACTCTCAAGATCATCGTCATAATTATCAATGATAACAATCATCAACATTGTTTTCACCTAAATGGTTTCTTGTTCGATGTAGCATTTATTCACACATAACAAACCCATGTCATGAATTGTGTTCTCTAACTTTTGCTTATTAGGTAATGTCTCATCTACAACATTAAAGTTGCATTCGCCGTGCTCTTTAACAAATTCAATTTTTTTTCTATTAATAAACTTTAAACTTGTATGCTTTATTCCAACCCCCCAAAAACCTTTTCCTCCTTTTTGTTAAAGGGGGGGGGGGGACATCTGCAACCCTCAAGAATAAAAGGTTTTGTTTTGGGCCGAAACAGATCAGCTGTGAGAGCAGGCTGGCTCCCGCTCCATACATTATTGGTACTGATTGTGAGGCGGGAACCAGCCTACCCCGCAAAAAGGAATATAATGTGAAATTGTAAAGTAAAAAGTCAATAACTAAACATGGGCCAAAGTTTTTTTCAGTCGATGTCACATTCAAAAGTGAATAACTTTTATAATGCTACATGAACATGTAAAAAAATAGCAATTTAGAAAAGAATCTATTGTTCGGTATAAAACTTGAACATTTCACGGGGAATGCAACTTTCAAACCTTAATACTGTCTGGGGCAGGGACCGCTAAAGTTCTTTTGTACAAAGTAAACCTACCGTAGCTATATATACTGAAATGGTTCTGTCAAATTCCAGAAATGATACTATCAGAAAATCTGTGTTCAATATGAGAAATTTTTGATTGATTGGAAAAAAGGTCAAACTTATGGTGGACTAAGAGGCATTTACATGTACATGTGCATACAGGTGTCTGTACATCACAAATTGATGGATGCTTGCAGTGCATGAGAGATTTTTAAATTTTCATTGGAATTCATAGGCATAGCATGCTTGCTTTGTCGACAGTGATTTGGGTTAGCGTGATACCGCAAATTATGATGAAATTCATTAAAGAACATGAACTTTCCAATAAAAACTATACATTGTACCATATACGAACAGCACATGTACATGTATATGTGTCTTTCTTGTCCTAGTACAAACTTCCTACAATTTAACAACTATGAAACTAAAATTCATTACTAAATGTTGACGCAGACCAACACCATCAAGGTTTTTATTTGTTTGTTAATTGGTTTTGTTGTGGCTTTTTTTTTCCTTTGTTGTGGTATTAACTTAGTCATTTTCATGTTATGCATGCTGGTCATTAGTCTATGTAATTAATTTTGTAAGACAACCTCATCTTGACGTCTATATTTTGACCAATCAGCGAGCGCTTTCTATATCGGGTCTTCAGTCTTTCACCGTTGTCGCGTCTAAAAATGGATAAAAAGAAATACCCTAGACTACAAAGGCTGTGGTCTCGCACTCTTTATTATGTTACGTGATACTCGCCAGACTGTTGCTGTATTACAAAACACTGTATTTGAATTGACCAATCAAACACTTAGTCCGGATTTGGGAATGAAATGACGTCACGATTTAGTAAAGTCGACTCCCACTGGCTTAAGTGCGAGAGCACATAAATCTGCATGCTTTGACATATCAGACATTATACCGGAGACTCGTGGCTCCATGGATAACGGGTGATACTCAGACTAACTGGTCATGTGCATGGTTTCCTTCTGTTTGCATGGAGCCCTTCCCAAGCATTTCTTCTAAATTCGTTTTTAACGTTAATTTCGGGCGTTTTTTATTGATACTAACCTTTGCTCCATAATTGCATTGTATACATGTTGTAATTTGCATTAATTTATTTTTAATTTCTGAATGGCTCGTTAATATGCTAGGTGTTTCATTGATTTTAATTTGATGCATTGCTCATTAATATTCAAGGTATTTAATTGTAATCTTGCACTTTCCTTCAGCCCTGCTCACCCATTTCTTGCATTTTTTTTGTTTTTGTTTATTTTTCCATTGTGGTCTTGCTTTTGCACACATCTCAACAGGGTGGTTTCGCCGAAAAGGTACGTCACACTTTAACAAACTACCTCAATCGGGGTAGGGATTGTGACCACAATACCGGTACCTGTTAGTGGTCGGTAGCACATGATATATCTCGATCAGTGGTATGGGAAAAATATATTCCGGCCAACAAAGGGTCACCAGTTTAGTTTCTTCTTGTATGTAGAGAAAAGAACAAATACCCCATACAGTAGAATGGAACATACCCAAATTAGCAGCTTGAACTGGTTTGTTCTGGCTGGATCAGGTCTAGTTTGATTTGAACTTGCTTTGTCTGGTTTAAACTTGATTGGTCAGGTTGGAATGGACTGGTCTCTGTTTGGCTTGGTCGGTTAAGAACTGGATTGTTGTGGTTGGAACTAGCTTGGTGTGGTTGAAGCTGGACTGGTCTATACGTGGGGTGGTCTGTTTAGAACTGGACTGGTTTAGTTGGATCTGGCTTGGTCTGGCTTGAACTTGGCTGGTCAGTATCTGGCTTTGTTTGGTTTGAACTGGCTTGGTCTGGTTGGATCTGGCTTGAGCTGGTTGGAACTTGGCTGGTCTGTATCTGACTATATCTGGTTAGAAATGGCTTGATTTGGTTGGAAATGGGCCAGTTTAATAATAAGTTGGCCAGATTTGAACGGGCTTGTTCTAGTTGGAACTGGCTTGGTCTGGTTGGATCAGGCCTGGTTAGATTGGAACTAATTATGTGATTTTAGAACTGAATGTAGGAAATACAAAGTCTGATAAACAGTCCCACTTTATCCTGAAGAATTTCATAGTTTTGATTATTCACCTTCCCATGTTGTCATTTGCGCCCCTGCTCTAAAAGGGTTGCAACCTGCCCTAAAAAAGTGTTTATTTTGATGGAAAGTCACTTTTGTCGGTGGAGGCTGGGCAGGGATTGGGTAAAGAGGTTTGGTTGCAATTTTTCACTGGTGAAAAATGTAACGCTTGCTAATTGCTTTACATGCATAATCACTACATTAAAAAAAAAAACACTAATCACACGCTATTAAACTTGCAGAACTGAACAAAAATTATTTTCTAAAATTCTTCATAGTTTTGAGGTGAATCTGAGCGGTAATATGTGTTTTTCAAACCTGTGAATTCATGCATTTGTGTGACCCTTGATTTTAATTGATTTATGCAATTTGTTTTAAAGCATGTGTTGCATGTGGTATATGATCTTGAATTAATTGTATTTGTGTAAATCCATTTAGTTTACAATTTCAAAATTCATATTTTCTGGACGTAAAACTTTATAAAAAGGAGAAGAGAGGCCAAGGCACCTTGGGTGTGGTCAATGCACCTGAACGTTGCAGAGTTTAGAGTCTCTCGTGTGTGTTCAAAAGTGTTGTAGTTAAGCCCATCACAAGTCCTCACAAGTCCCAGAAAGTCCTCAAGTCCTCACAAGTTCCCACAAGTTCTCACAAGTCCTCACAAGTCCTCAAAGTGCTCACAAGTCCACACAAGTCCTTAAAGTGCTCACAATTCCTCACAAGTCCTCAAAGTGCTCACAAGTCCTCAGAAGCCCTGACAAGTTCTCACAAGTCCTCAAAGTGCTCCCAAGTCCTCATAAGCCCTCACAGTGCTCACAATTCCTCACAAGTCATCAAAGTGCTCACAAGTCCTCAGAAGCCCTCACAAGTTCTCAAGTCCTCACAAGTCCTCACAAGTCCTCAAAGTGCTCCCAAGTCCTCAGAAGCCCTCACAAGTTCTCACAAGTCCTCACAAGTCCTCAAAGTGCTCCCAAGTCCTCAGAAGCCCTCACAAGTTCTCACAAGCCCTCACAGGTTCTCACAAGTCAATCTTGATGCATTGAATTACAAGTCAAGCCGCATGCTATTCAAATGAACTGTGACAAAGGCATTCATTCCTTTGCTATTGTTTATGCCCTGTTACTTGTAATGACTTGTAATGACTTGTAATGACTTGTGATGACTTGTGATGGACGTGACTACATCACTGATGTCCATTTGCCAAATGTTCGGGAAAAATGCAAGTGGAACCTGTTGAAGGTACCATAGTGCTGCTTTTTGGTAGAGCAAATTCGTACGAATATTTCGCAGCTGCGCAAATCCTACACATGATGTTAGTTACAGTGTTTCATGAAATGAGCTGCAGTTTTATTCAGTGGAATGTGCACAAAAGTACAACACCTTGCGTCTCGCGCGTTGTTTTTACAAGATGGACACGGCCTGGGCAGCGGTAATGCACCATTATCAACATGGGGTCTGCCGTGATAAGTTCACGTGGAAAGTTTCCACAGATACTGGTTGCTGAATTGTTGTTACTAGTGGGGCAGATAGGGGAAATATTTGGGGGAATTGTGCCTTTGATGATACAAGCATGGCAGTTGGCACACAGTCAGAGTATGTCTTAAGAAAGATATTTGGCTATAGGGCCATCGCAGATTTGTCCTTTGAAAAAAATGTAAGAAGAATAACAAGCAATTTTCAAAAATTTTAAAATGGCTGCCATTGCTAGCTATTCTACCTGTATTTTTTCGAAGGACACATCTGTGATGGCCCTATAGCCAATTATCTTTCTCATGACATACCCTGACTGTGTGCCAAATGCCATGCTTGTATCATCAAAGGCACAATCCCATCACCTATCTGCCGTACTATACCTTTTCACAGCAAAAGCACACATTTGTAGAAGCCTGAAATCTTATTCGTCATTACCGAGTTTTATATAATTTGGGGAATAGACCGATCCATTGCCACACTGCATGTTCAAGACAAGTGCGTCATATGCAAGTGTCATGTCGGACATTTGTGCACGGATGTCTGACACTCATCACAGCCATGATTGGTCACAACGTAGGGCTTAGTGGATCAGCATTTGGCACAGCAACAGAATCACCAAACACCTAAGATCGCAGCCATTTATAACAAGATGGTTGTTTAGTGAGAATGACTTGGACCAGTTGCTATGCATGAAGCGTGATCCAACATCACAAATCTTGCCTATTAAGGCCTTTTGACACTATCGTCTCGCCTTACCCATGTTGAAATCAACAGGGGTCCCCCATTAAGTGGAGCCTGGTCCCATTACATGACCATGGGTAGGCAGGGCAAACTGTTCAAACAAATACACCAGTGTGCACAAGGGTCGGCTTTAGATTTTGGATTTTCTACCTGGGTAGAGCCTCTCTACCCTGGGTCCCGACCAGGCTTGGATTTTACCGGTGTAGAGCGCCAGTCCTGGGTAGAAGCCATATTTGATTCTTGCTAGCATGAAAGGGGTTCCCTGAAATATCTGTGTTGGACTCGGGATAGTGCGAAAGGCCTTTTACATGTTCTTCAATTTTGAATTTCAAGTGATTGCCTGGAATCACAAATGGTTACTTCTTTTCACTGCAATGGCCTTCTACCTTTTTTTTTACCCTACAGCGCCACCGTTGGATCCAGAGATCCTGAAGCTGGAGAAGTCGGGCCCTCCCCAGCCCTTACCCGCCCAGAAGAACCACAAGCCCCTGGACGACATCCTGAAGAGCTCGGCTACCTCAATGGTCCGGCAGCGAAGCCAGCGGGACGCCGGACTGAGCAGCGAAGCCAACCGAGTATTAGACGGTCTACCCAGCCTGTCCTTCATGCACGCTAAGGTGCTGATGTTTCCCATGCGGCCGCTAGAGGGCGGCACCACCGCTGGCAGTGCGCCGTCGCAGGGCTCCCTCTTGTGATCAAATGAAGGACAGGCTTAGTGTCTGACTTTGGTTTGACTATGAAAACAAGTTGGAGTGGAGAGCTTTGGAAGGCATTATAAAGCCTTCCTACTTATTATCAGAAGACAATTGTACAGAGCTGTGATGCTGACGTTTATAACGAAATGAGAAACAACATGTTTATTGACTCCGTGCACAAGCACGCCCTCAAGGTTGACAAAGAGAGAGGCGATGGATATTAACCCTCATTGCTGCAGGGCAGCCAGCACCCACATGAAGACACTACAGGTTTAGCACAGTCACATGGAAATGAGTTGTACGCACTCTGTGCCGACCAGTGTCTCATATTCTGTCGTGAACCAGTGCCGCGAACCAGTGTCACGTATTGGAGCCTTTGGGAGTAGTCACACAGCACTGCTTGCTGTGCCTTCAGTCCATAGACTGCTGGTTGGTTGACTGAAGTTAATGCAGTCTGCGTCAGACAATTGCACAGACACATTTCCTTCAGAGCCAAGGCTGTGCAATACCATGAAAGTGGTTATGTGTATAACTCTGTGCAGAATTGCTCAGACTCACTATGTGAATTTTAGTGGACAGTGTGCAGTCTTTCAAGGGTCCACATGTGCTGCTCAGACTGCATACCGGTTAAGGCAGGACTTTGCCTAATGAAGTATAAAGTAGGTTGGTTCCCAGTCTCCCCATAATATGTGCATTGGAAAAAACGGTGGATACCAGTCAAAAAAGTTGGAGCTTTCACCTCACTGGTTCCCATGTGCTCATGGAGTGTAAAGTAGGTTGTCAGCGTCCCCATAGTATGTGCATTGAAAAAAAAACGGTGGGCGCCAGTCAAAAGAATTTGAGCTTTCACCTCACTAGTTGCCGTGTGTATGGAGTATAAAGTAGGTTGGTTCCCAGTCTCCCCATAATATGTGCATTGAAAAAATGGTGGGTGCCAGTCAAAAAGCTAGAGCTGTATTTAAAATCCTTGAAAAAAAAATTGATTGCGACTGGAAATGTTGCCAGTAACATATGAACTTACTGCAGATGCAGAAAATGGATAACTTCAGTCCCGACAGGATCATCATGTTCATTGTGCATATCGGTCATTTTTGGAAAACGTCGCGAATGACTCCAGAAGACTGCTTGCCGTTGTTTCTTACGTTCACCAACGTTGGTAGCAAACAGTCGATCCCACTTATACAAATGTGGCCAACGTTGATATTGTTCTAGGAAGTGGAACGCACCCCTGCACTGAGCTCAGAATTGGTTTTGTATCTTTTAGACGTATCAACCTGTGGTGGAAGATTATCAAGCATGTAGAAAGACATGGGCTTACATGTTTATTTGAAATATAAGGGACAAGGCAATATTCATTCCTTTCCAATAGCTATGCCACTGATATCTCTGGGAGATTATGGATGTCTCTGAAAGAATACATAGAGCCCTGGGATTGAGTACCCAACCGCACCTTATTTTGTTATTCAGTTGCGTTAGCCACAATGTTGATAGACGCCTTCTTACACCCAAGATTTTTGTGCTTGTTATATTTGACGAGGCTTTGCCATTGCGGGCGAGGCTGCTTCGCCACCTGTTGCCCACTTCGCGAGCGAGTCGCCTGCTTCCTCATGGGCGTGTTGCCGGCTTTGCAAGTGAGTCTTCGCTTCACTGGGGATCGCCTGCTACATGGGTGATCAACCGTAGCAGCCTAATTTGCATCAACAACTGGTTAACATACTCGTTGCGCTTTACAGTATAGCGAAAATTAAAATTAGACCTAGCTTATACACAGTTTAAACCTAAAGTGCAAATATATTTTTGTGGCAAAAGCTTAAAGTCCATTTGAAGAACAAATTAGCTGCGTCTCTTAGCGTTTTGAAGTTAGTATTCAAATCAGGTGGTTATTCTCGTTAATGCACGATTTGTGCTCCATAGTCATGTAAGTAGCAAGGCTGCTTAGCTCAGAATTGTTTTTTTGCTGTTCATGACTGCATAGATATACATGTAAGGCTTTTTCACACCATCTCTCCTACCCAGGTAGGCAAGGCATACCATTTACTGACTACCAATACCATTCGGTATTCGCGACTAGTCGCACTATTGGTACAGGCCTACCATTTAGGGGCCTCGTAGCCGAAGCGGGTAGAGCATGGAGCTATGGAGTGGAAGGTTGGCGGTTCGAATCCCATTCGGACCAAAAACTGGAAAACTCTCTCTGGCGACCCAACAGTAAAATGGGTACCTGATTCGTTCAGGGAAGGTAAGACGGCGAGAGGAGAGGACTGGGCACCGCCACTCATATGCCGCGCCCAAGACACAGTGGACCTCTAACATCCCACTGCCCCTACGGCCAGTAATGGCTATGGGATCTTTACCTTTCACCTTACCTACCATTTACACCTAACATTGGTGTGTACACGCTTCAGCTGTAGATTGTACATTTTCTACCTGGGTAGAGCCTCTCCACCCTGGATCAGACCAGGGTTGGATTTTTTAATGTGTGAAAGAGGTTCCTGAAATCTCCATGTTGGACCCGGATCGAGCACAGAGATTTTGGATAGTGTGAAAGACTCTAAAGTGTACAAGTTACATGTACACGTTCAACATCATGGAAATTAAACATAATGCACATTTTCTGAGGAAGTTAAACACATTGACATCTTGCTACCCTGAAATTTTGATTTTGATTTTCCACTGATCGCTGTATAACCAAACACAATCATCTTAAGGTGTGTCTTTTTTACTTCTAACAGAGTGTTTAAAGACAATGAGCTTTTTTGTTTACTCTCGGTTACCAGTCAGCGAATCATGGACAGAACTGGACTAGCAGCTTTTGTTTTTGGTATAATTAACATGTAAATTTAAAAAAGAGTATAAACTAATAGAAACAATGTGCAATCGTTTTAAATTGCTGGTTACATCCCATAAAGATGATTACTTGATTATGAGAAATGTACATTGCTCGTTATTTCAGTTGAATGTAAAAAAAATTGTAAATAAATATATGTGTATATGAAGGTATTGTAGCTTAGCACACGATTATGGAGAGGTTTAACATTTAATAATTATCTCTGTCTTTGTTTTCAACAAAAACAAAAACTGTGTCTTTTTTTTTTTTGCAGTCCATTATTGGCATATTTGATGCAGCTTATAAAGGCCATTGAAAAAAATAATTGTAATTTAAAATGAAAAAAAAACCCCAGAATTTGAGATTTCAAGCACTGTAAGCATCTCTGATTTTTTTCCAGTTTATAAGTACAAAGGAGTCTAACTTCCTTCCCAAAATGTCAAAATATAGCACCAGTGTTAGAAATGATTACTGAAAATTGGATTACTGCACGGTGTTGGGTTGTAGTTGGTAAACACCGACAAGGGAGGATATTTGCAACCATACCGTATTAGCTTCAGTTACTCAGATATATTTACATGATAAAACTTTGTTAAAAAAATTGGGAATTAACCTTAAAAAAGGTGGAAGTACATGTATGTCTTGAATGTGAATGTGATACTGATATGAGGCATTCAAATTATTTTGAAAGCAAGTTTGAAATCTCAAGTTTCATTAGTACTGCACCTTGGGTTAAGTGAACACCCATTTTACCAAGTCTTTGCTGGTGATGATGTCGATGTTTGTTTTTTTGTGGGTTTTTGTTTTGGCAAAAGCATTTTAACAATTCTGCTTAAACCAGAATATACAGCATTATTGCAACTTTATGTAAATGTAACCAACTTATAGTGGAACACTGAGGCAAAACTAAATACTAACTTTTCAAAGCGAGTTCATGCTTCAGAGGCTTGCGTCTGATTTGACACGGCAAAACATTCGTGGCAAAAATTATTTCAACGCGAGGCAGAAAACTCGGCCAAACTTCACCGCACACAGAGAATGACTTTTTGCTCAGCACGTAGCTCTTGTGTGCAGCGAGCTTTAATGGGAAATTGTTAGATTTTGTATTGTAATCAACAGTTTCTCGCAATTAAACTTAAACCAGTCAACTCTGAACATGTAGAGGCTGCTGGCAAGTAACCTATCTGCTGGTATAATTTTTCCTGTTTTTGTTGAAAAATTCAAATGCACTTCAACTCTCTACAGTTCCACAGTGGTTCGTTATCCATAAAATGAGTTGAAATATCATTTATGGTTTTCAGTGTATGTACTCTATTCTTTGGCTTGTTCGTCATGTGTCTTTGTAATGTGTTAAATCTTTCGTTGTATTTGTATCGTACTGTAACATTATTTTTTTCTCGTTCAAAGAATTGGTTTAGTCAACTTTATATACCATTTTATGGAAGAGGACCAAAACACTTCTTGCATACTTTCCTGAGCTAGTACCCATTTATTGTGCATTCATAAATACCTAAGACAGTTTACCCAGTCCTATTGGTCGAGAGCCCGTCACATGGCCAGTCTTAAACAGTTGATAAAGACCGGCTGGCTGGTCTTAAACACTTTCCAGTGTCACATGAAATTTTGACTCTATGAAATCCGGTGCCTTTTACCGATTTATTGGTTGAACGTTCACAATTCTCACATAGGCATGTGCCATACTACCAGTGAGTCAGAATTTCATAGTCCTAAATTCACAACACACCGGCACAGCTGCATTGTGCGCCACATCATGCAGTACGCGCGGTGCGTGTGCCAATCTCCATATCAGGAGTTTACGACACTCCATATAGCTACAGGGGTGTCCCGAAAAACATGCGGTAAAATTGTTCAACAAAATTGGAAAAAATTTATAATTTTTGACTTGTTTTGACTTTTGGACCGAAAAGTCTGATTGCTGATAATTACCTGAGCTGAATATCAGCATCCAGACTAAGTGTTTCAAACCAGCCAAGCACACAGTTATTCCCTTATTGATCGATTGTTAAAGAGGTTGTGGAATGCTCGAAGACATTTCCATCATTTTTCGGGTATATGTAGCCTAAGGTGTGATGAAATAAAAACGACTATTGTGTCTGTCATGAAATGAGTACAAAAGGTACTTTTGAGAGCTGTTTTTCAGGTCCTGTTTCGACCCGAACGTGCAATTTGTGTAAAAGCCGTCGTTGGGGCCAGCAAACAAAACATAGTAAATCGTGACGTAATAAACAGGACTCCCGGTGCAGCGTAGTATAAACAAGTCCTGTTTATTATGTCACGATATACTATGTTTTGTTTGCTGCCCCCAACGACGACTTTTACACAAATTGCACGTTCGGGTCGAAACAGGACCTGAAAAACAGCTCTCGAAAGTACCTTTTGTACTCATTTCATGACAGACACAATAATCATTTTTATTTCATCACACCTTAGGCTACATATACCCAAAAAATGACGGAAATGTCTTCGAGCATTCCACAACCTCTTTAATGTTGTTTTTTAATTTATTATTTGAAAACGATAAAACTAACATCTTTATTTAGTTCTTCATCATGAGATCAAAAACAATCATATAGACTAATGTAACAATCAGTACTTAAAGATAAATTTCTGTGGGGATATAAATATAATTTGAATAGATTTAGTATAAAATAAAAAGTATTAAGGTACATAAGTCCAAGTTACTAATAATTCAGAAAAATATTTAACTCCTTTGAACTGTAACAAAGCTATAGTTACGTGTACACATCACTATTTAGTATAACACATAAATGTATTAAACTGGTCACAAATTGTGTTCACCATATTAAATTGATTTATTAAATTATTCTTTCAGTTTTAAACAGCTTTGTTTTAACCTCACACTTTTATCCTCAATAAATGCAACAAAAACACAGCACAACCTGGGTTGCATGAGTATTTTGTGAATCAGTCTGCTGAGAGTAAAGAAGAAATCACCCAACTGCCTAAAAAAATATATAATAAAAGACATTTGTATGGCGCTGTATGTGAAATAGCTCAAAGCACCTCACAATAGATAACAATAAAACCAAGGTAATAGAACTTTAAAAGAAATCATAAAAGTCACTTAACTAGGATGGATAAAAACAAAAACAAATATGTGAAAATACCTTAAAACAGTTGAATCAAAAACACTAATATAAAACAATAGTTAAAGGGAATATACAACATTTTGCCTTTGCTGTCATTTTCAGAAACGGATAGATTTGGGGGGTTAGTATTTCATAGGAAATATTGTTACAATGACTTGTTTGAAGGTTTGTTCGTAGATGCTGGAAAAACCAAGAAAATATCATGTTCCTGTACTTTGGTTCCCTGACCCCACGTAAGAAGAAAGGGACCAATTTATAGACGTCAGGGAATTGTAAAGTCAGGGAACCAGTCCAGCTGGCTTGTACCCGTTCACAGGTGTGTAATCGATTGCAAACAAAATGCGGACTAACAAAATATGGTAAATTGGGGGCAGTATTTGAAAAAAGCTGGTCCAACGTTGTATATTACCTTTAAAGCACAAAATGCACCTTGGCACTAACATCACGATGAACAATAATATTAAATGCACACATACACTCGTCATGTGGAAAGATTCAACGTGCGAAAAAAATACTTGGATGACGTCTGAGCCTAATATAAATACGTACACTTAAATTTGTCTTAAACAAATAACTGCTTGTGCATTTTTGTGCTAGGCTTGGGCGACTCCTGCATTTCTCTTAAAGGTAAAGTCCATCATTTGCAGCCATCCGAAAAGTAACTGGCGTAATTATTGTTGAAAAACAAACTTGGTTGAAAGATAGTAAGGGGACTAAACTCCCTGTGAAATTATTCTTTCTGGGAAGCTGTCATTTTGAAGTAATCAACGAAAGAAGGCATTTCCAACGGTGATTCTTAAGAAGCACCGTAGGAAAATTTAAATTAGTAGTTCGTTTTGTTATTCAGCGCAGCGCGCACAAGTATTGGAATGACGCACACGCGCGCGCGGTTGTTATAATTCGTCGGATCCGTGCGCGACGTCGCGTATAGCTGCAATTCAAAACAATTCAAAACATGATTCAGTAACTTTGGATTTGAAATTGAGATCTTAGAATGCTGTTTTTCTCGGAATGTACAGCTGAAGCTTAGCTGAAACTTCATCAGGTTAGTTGTCAGTATCCTTCATTAGATTTTGAACTCTTTTGTTGCTTCAAACGAACAAAATGCACAAATTACAAATGATGGACTGTAGCTTTAATCAAGGAGTCACAGATTCCAATCAATTCCATTCTGAATTGATTGAGGAATATCATTAACCCTAACCATCCCCAACCCTTCAAAATCCAACTGCGTGGTTTGTTGGAATCTATTAGAGTGAGTACTGCACTAATAAACTGACTATGCTTTACATAGAGTCTGGCATACCACCATAATCAGAGTCCAACAGTTTGGGTGTTAATTACCATACGGTGTTGGATTTTGCAAGAGTGAGGAAGGTTCCTAGTAAATCACTGAAGAGGTTAGGGTTAAAGCTATAGTCCATCGTTTGCAGCTATCCAAAAAGTAACTGACGTAATTATTGTTGACAAACATACTTGGTTGAAAGATAGCGAGGGGACTAAACTCCCTGTGAGATTGTTCTCACTGGCAAGCTGTCATTTTGAAGTAATCAACGAAAGAAGGCCTTTCCAACGGTGCATCGAAAGTAGTTTGTTTTTTTTTTATTCGGCGAAGCGCGCGCAAGCGTTGGCACGACGCACACGCGCGCGCAGCTGCTATAATTCGTCGGATCGGTGCGCGACAGCGCGTAGCTACAATCGGCTGAGTGAGAACGTGTCTCGGACGCTGAATTCAGGCCCAATTCAAAACATTATTCAGCAACTTTTGATTTCAAATCGAGATCCTAGAATACTGAAGCTGAGCTGAAACTTTATCAGATTAGTTGTTCAGCACCCTTCTTTAGATTTTTAACTTTTTTGTTGCATCAAACGAACAAAATGCACAATTTACAAATGATGGACTATACCTTTATTAAGCTATATTGCTTAACCACTAATACAAGGTCATTAAGAGGTGTAATCCCTCTCTTAAAAATGATACTTTTTCTACATATTTTGTTTTGAATTGGCCGGAAACTCTTCTGTGGTGAACTGGAACTGTTATCGCTGCAAATCAATTCCTCAACAAGGTATGGAATCGTTACTATTTGAATTATTAGCTGGAGTCACCCTAGCTGTTTTGGTGCTCTGTGCAGTTCCACTGTACATAAATTAAGTACTTAGATTACTTCCTATTTAAAACAAAAAGAATTGTAGAATTATAGTGAAACTAATTGGTCTGGGTGTAGTGTCCTCTTTGCACCTAACTGACCGACTGACTAACTGACTGACTTGTGACTGACGTCACTTGTGACTTAGACTGGTCTGGGTTTATGTATTTTATGTCATGCAGGATCTACACCACATGGTTCAAGTGAATAGGCAAAACATCAAGTCTCCATCATGTCCATGTGAATGGCAAATGTGGATTTTTCATTCAGGTTACCTCTACAGCTTATTTTACGAACATTCGAGCAATTCTGAATCAAGTGAATAGAATGTTCTGTGCTCAGGGACAAGCTTCACTAGGCTTGTCTTGTGCCTTGTCTTGTGCCCCGCGTTCGATTGCTTCCCCTGCGCTTACTCGTGCAAGCCCGACTGTATTGGATTTAAAGCTATAGTCCATCATTTGCAGCCATCCGAAAAAGTAACTGGCGTATTATTGTTGAAAAACAAACTTGGTTGAAAGATAGTAAGTGGACTAAACTCCCTGTGAAATTAATCTTTCTGGCAAATTAGTAGTTCGTTTTGTTATTTGGCGCAGCGCGCGCAAGCATTGGCACGACGCACACACGCTTGCTATAATTCGTCAGATCAGTGCGCGACATCGCGTATAGCTGCAATTCAAAACAATTCAAAACATGATTCAGCAACTTTTGATTTGAAATTGGGATCCCAGAATGCTGTCTTTCTCAGAATATACAGCTCAAGCTGAGCTGAAACTTCATCAGGTTAGTTGTTCAGTATCCTTCATTAGATTTTGAACACTTTTGTTGCCTCAAACGAACAAAATGCACAAATTACAAATATGATGGACTATATCTTTAACTATCAATTGACTTCTCACACTTACTCGAGCCTGGCCCAAGTATTAAACCGACCCGCTGAGCCAGTTACTTTGGTAAGTATCCCACAGTACAGTGCGAAAACATGGCGTCCGAGTATAACACTATGGCTCAGGTTCACTTCACACTTCACTTCACGACGGGAGGAAAGTTAAGTTAATTTGAAACATAGCCAGCATTTCTTGTTCACTTTGGAAGAGCACGTATAATGGCCACCATGGCTCCCTTTGGACGGTTCAAATCCATTTGCAAAGGGGATTTAATCGCCACATGACCTCTTGACCCGGTCTGGTTGCTATGGTTCGACCTCAAGTAACCCCAGATCGTTCGTTTATTGCGATGAAAGTATGGGTAAGCGCGAAAAGTAATCAAACGTGCTCACTGAAAACAAGTCACAGTTGGCAATATGTGTGGCTGAGTTGCATGTCCAATGCCGAGGATTCTGAGTTTATGCTGTGTTAAAGGTTTCCGTAGATAATTAAAATTTGTATAAATTAGCTTTCAAAATGTGCATAATTATTTAAATATGTACTGTTTTCCCCAGTGATTCCTTAAATACAGTCCTGCATTTGTTGAAAATTACACATTTTTAGAATTTATCTTCGAGCAAACTCGACGCACAGTAAAGATGGAACACGCACGCTTTACACAAATTTTTTAATAGTTATCCTAGTACATTTGAGTGCAGTAGGAATAGCGCGTGCATCTTAGAATTGGGTGATACGCGGAGAGTGGTGTGGACCGTGGTATACAAGATAATACAAGATTGTTGTTGCCACGGATCGACCAATCAGGATCGAGGGTTCCGGTTTGCTTGAAGATAGTGGAACATGTAGTACGAGCCTTTCTACTCGTACCATTAACACGCACAATATGGTGGGTTACAGCAAGGTATAAGTGACGAGCCAAAAAACTCGTCATTGAAGAGTGGCGTCCCATGCACCATCCCAGCCTCGTGCTCCGAGACCAAACGCGCCACTTCTCGCAAGACCTCCGCGTGCTCCTGCGCCGGCAACGGGTAAGCTTCCTCGGGATCTTCGTTTAAGTCGTATAGGAGAGGGGGATTGTGGGTTGTCACGCAGGGAGAACTGTGGCAGTCTCCGCAGTAGTAGTCCCCCCTGACGTCGGGGATACCCGTCGGGCCGCAAAACGCCCGCAGCGATTCGTCCGTTCGGATCTCCTGCGTGTAGTAATGCACTTTGTATTTGCCGTGCTGCACTGCCATGATGCGCTTGCCACAGTAGTGAAACAATGCACGGTCGGGCGATCGTCCTCCGTGTAGTATTACCTCCTTGATGCTCCGCCCATCAATGATACGATCTGTGGGTGGGGTCCCTCCGGCTAGGTCTATAGCGAGGCTGAAGAGATCCATGGAGCTGATGACTTGGTGGTTGGTGATGTCAGCAGGTACGGTGCCCGGCCACCAGGCGATAGCTGGTACCCGCACACCGCCCTCCCATGTCATTCCTTTCCATCCTTACAAATGACAAAACAATGAAACAATTAACAAAGGCTTCTACGCATAGAGCTACATTAATTTAAGTTACGACTTAAGCCCGGTTTACAGTCCGATGGTCGCACGACTGAAAAACTGACGCGTGATCATTTTAAACGCAGTTTATAGTCGTGGCTGAAGCCTCAGCGACTAGTTGCTGAAGGACGCTGGCGCCATCGCTACAGAGTTCAAATAAGTGAACTTTGACATGGTCGCTGACCTCAATCAGTTGACCAATGGGCTTGCTTGAGCCATAAGAAATAATGAATATGCAAATATGACACTGAGATTATCAAACAAATCATTTGCCGACGTGTACATGTACATGTACATGTAGGACTATGTATTGTTCAAAAAGGATATGCATGGACACGGACACATGTAAGTGAATTACAAGTATGAACTGCCCGAAAAGGGCATCATGTATCGCACGACCGACTATAAACCAGCATTAACTTGGATACATTTACGTTTGTTCACAAATGTACCCTTTGGAGAACCCTTCCCATATCTGCATTTGTATTCAAAAGCAAACTACAAATGAAGCCTTTACATATTTCGCTATTTCGCAAATGAACTGCATAACGTACAGCACACAGATTTTGACCATGTTCTGATTAACCCTCCTAGTGGGAAGTCAATATTCAGAGCAATATGTCAAACCCTTTAAACATGTAAAACCTTTTAGTCACAATTGGCCTGTTACAGAGGATGGGCTTGTTACCTTTCAGGGGGCTTGACACACCCCCTTCTTTACACATTTCGCGCTCTGGCCCGTGATCAGACAGGAAAACGGCCAGGGTGTTTCTCTCCAGTTTCAGATCTCTCAGCAGTTGAAGCATCTCGCCCACAGCCCAGCTCATCTCATTCACGCTGTCTCCATAAACACCTAGCCAACAAAACACAGAACAATATTGGAATGTTCCAGAAAGTTGCATCTTTTGCAAATGTAAACACAAATATACAGGGGCAGTGTGGCCTAGCGGTTAGGGTTTGTGACTCGTGCTCAGAGGGTCAGGGGGTCGAATCCAGCTGCTGGTCATATGTTGTGTCCTTGGGCAAGCCACTTCATTCCCATTTGCCCTCTCCATCCAGTAGCTGGGGAGTAACCTGCGATGGACTAGCATCCCATCCAGGGGGAGTAAAGACATTCTCAGTCGTTTCATGCTACTGAAACTAGAGATAAACGTTGGCCTGATGGGCCACATTGGCTCGTGACAGACTTTACTTACATATTTCAGTTTGACATTACTGCTTTGAATTCTCAATACCTCGCCTTGATGAGTTTTTGAAAGCCTCCGAGCTGAACATGTTGGAGTGTGTGTGGGGGAAGGAAAAGTAGAAGAAGAACGGCTCATGCTGGTGGTCATAGACGAAGGCCTTGGCCTCAAGGAGTAAAGCTGAGGTCAGGTTATGGTGGCTGAATGGCTGCTGGAGTATGGTGTCGCCGTAGTACAAATAACAGGAGGTTCTGTCCGGGGACGGAATCATTGTCTGAAATGAGGGACAGAAGCAAACTTAATACCACAAGTATGTGTAACATTGGGCTTTACGACAAGCAAACTTGATCCTCAATCATTGGTCGATCCATGGCAACAGCAGTGTGGTATTATCCCATATACCACGGTCAACATTGCATTACGCACATCGCGCTATTCTAAGATGGGGGCACCATTCCTGTAGAAGGATAATCGCTGAAAAGTTTGGGTACAGCGTGTGTGTTCCATCTAGTCTACTGTGCATCAAGTTTGCGAAGATGAATTCGTCAGCCCAATCGGGCTCGTGGAACAAAGAAAATGTGGCATATGGAACACAGATGCATAACATTATTCCATGTTCTACTCGCGCTTGTGTAAATGGTCCGTGGTTATACAGGGTGGTCCAAAAAAAAAATGGAACGGCATACTTCCACTGCCTTGAGACTCAAACACCTGTACCAATTGATGGAGAACACATGATACAATGAGCTCATGTACTTCACTGTACCGTACACGAGTCAGACATCACACCAGATTTTTACATCAGCAAGGAAAAAGGGGACCTCATCATTAGAAAGATTTGTAGCATTCGGTTTTCAATTAATCTGTTACATAAACATGAGAAATCTGGCAACTGTCAACATTGTGTTATGGTTCACTTCTGTTGTAATTGGTCAGTTAAAGCTAGAGTCAATCATTTGCAGCTATCCAAAAAGTAACTGACGTAATTAGTGTTGAAAAACATACTTGGTTGAATGATAGTAAGGGAACTAAACTCCCTGTGAAATTATTCTTTCTGGCAAGCTGTCATTTTGAAGAAATCAACGGAAGAAGGCCTTCCAACGGTGCCTCTTAAGACGTACCGTTAGAAATTTCCGTTAGTAGTTCATTTTTTTATTCGGCGAAGAGCGCGCAAGCGTTGACACGACGCACGGTTGCTATAATTCGTCGGATCAGTGCGCGACATAGTGTAGCTGCAATCGGCTCAGTGAGAACGTGTCTCGGACGCTGAACTCAGGCCCAATTCAAAACATGATTCAAAAACTTTTGATTTGAAAATCGAGATCCTAGAATGTTGTTTTTCTCGGAATATTATACAGCTGAAGCTGAGCTGAAACTTCACCAGGTTAGCTGTTCAGCACCCTTCTGTAGATTTTGAGCAAGTTTGTTGCTTCAAACGAGCAAAATGCACAAATTACAAATGATGGACTATATACCTTTAAGTATTCAATGCAGGAATGCTACAAACTGTCTACGAATATCTAGAAGTGTCTAACGGTGACTGTTAATTGCCTTGTGGCTGTGCAACTGATAACGATTTGTTCCACTAGGGAACACAAACTGCAAAATACAATTTGACTTTCAAGTGGACAGGGACCATTCCAACCTTTGAAAAACTCTCTCAAGGAAAACAAAACGTTGCCTACCTTAGTTAGATCACATCGCCAGACATTGGACAGGGGCAGATTAGTGCCCACAAAGTCAAAACCATGGTGCTTGGGTAAGTGACTTCCGTCACTGGCATTAAACTCATTGATGCCTGAAACAGAAAAACACAAAGTAGAATTATTTGTGGCATCAACTGTCATAAGATAATATTGATCCATTAAGGCATAGCTGCCCTACAATGCTTGGACCAATCACGGCAGCGACTGCGCAACCAAATATCACGCAAATTTCTGGGGGGGGGGGAGATATCATATCGTTTGTCCCCCCCCCTTTTTCGTCCCGAATAAAAATTGTAAGCCTACATTTGACTCAATAGCTCAGAATAGCTGATTAAATGACTCCAAACTCGAAAATGAAAAGCTTTTACACAAAACAATTGGTTAAAGTGGTCAGAAATTGCTTCAGATCACACCATAGTGTCTAGAATCCAAAATTTCTGGGGTACTTATAAGCGTGCCCCGAACCCCACAACGTTAGAGCTTTGTGCTTCGCGCTCGCATTAGTCATGAAGGTATATCCCCCCTCCCCCCACTTTTGAGAAGCGATTGACGGCCTTGAGCCCATGATGTTTTAACAAATCACAGCAATAATTAATGTCCAACATGCTTGCACCAGAGTTGTAATGACTCAAGTCAATGACTCGACTCGAGTCCGACTCGAGTCACAAATATTGGTGACTCGACTCGACTCGAGTCCCTAAGGGTAAATGACTCGACTCGACTCGAGTCAATGCGAGCAAATGACTCGAATCGACTCGAGTCCCTCATCAGATGACTCGACTCGACTTGAGCGAAGGCCAATAAGACTCGAGTCCCAAAAATAAAAGCAAAACTTTGCGAAAAGTATTTGCAATGACTTAAGGTGCAAAATTTATGCTCACTTCGCTTTGCGAATAGCACTCTTGTACAAATATACAATGTGTCACAGACTCCCACCTCATGATTCTAGAACGCACAAAATACTATCCAGGAACCAGATTTTTAAACACATTTTCTAATTCGCTGTTTCATCATTGGCTTTGGGCGATTTCTTATTAAAGCTCTTGGATTCGAACGCTGGCTAAACTTATGGCCTCCTTTTATAAATTTTGGTATATAGTGTTCAAATATTCGTGACTCGAATTGACTCGAGCTAAATATTCGTGACTCGACTCGACTCGACTCGACTCGACCTTTTGGCCTAATGACTCGACTCGACTCGACTCGAGTCACTTCTTTAAAATGACTCGACTTGACTCGAGTCACTTCTTTAAAATGACTCGATTCGACTCAAGTCGTAAAAATCAGTGACTCGTTACAACTCTGGCTTGCACAACAGTCCGACGAGCTTGCACGCAAGCATGCCGCGTACAACTGGCACATCCAATGTGGCTGTTGATATTGTAACAAACTTGCTGTGCCTGGGTTAACTTTATGTTCTAGTGGCAGACATTCTTTAAGTTATCAGTCCAGCTCAGCTCAACAAAACCCATGTTTACTTGGAATTCTAATCCTGGCCAGGCCTAGTTGGCCTAGCAAGCCAGGATTAATTAGTTATGCAAACTTTCTTTTGGGTTGTACATAGTTCCTTTTCATATTCGCTCAAATATGGCAGAGACTATGTATTCAAACGGTGCTGCTGGAGGTTGGGGTGCGGTCATTTTGCTGTTTTTCGGGTCGAGGGAACATCAGTGGGGACTTTGGGTTTGTTGCGTTCCAGATAAGTCTCTGTGATTTTGTTCTTTAATTTATCTCCCAGGCCCTCCTCATATTTATTTGGCTTCAATTTCTTTGATTTGTGCCGCTTGTGCCAGTTACTCCAGCCCCCGGCACCTTCCTTTCATACTGGTCTCTGCCTCGCATAGGTCATTTTCGTTGTTCTAAGGCATTTTCTTTAAGCCACAAATCTCCCAATCTTTACCCAGATGCCATTTTCCGACCATCCCCGTTGCATAGCCTAGACTCTTCAGTGCCTCAGCAGTGGTTATCTCCTCTTTGGGTAATCCAGCGGACGAGTTCTGAGCGAAGACAGGAAAAGGTAGCTGGCGCTCGCCATACAGACCTATACGCACTGGGTACCTGCCTGTGATTGAATACAGAGAAACGTTTATAAACAAGTAAGACTATATGGACTTTGTGCATTAAAGTATCCCCTCAACGATTAAAAAAGGAGAGTTGGGGAGACCACACTTGGAAGATATGTTGAACGCATTGCTAAAGGCGCCCGACACTCACACCAAGGCGTTACGGGTCGGCTGGTGAACTTTAGAATAAAACTAGTTGTACGTACTTCACGCCGTATGCACACGACCTTGTATGCCCACGGGATGTATCGCTCCCACGGGAGCTCTCGAAAGTGGTCAAAAAGTGCCCTCTCTTGTTCGTGCAAGGAGTCCTCATGGTTGCAGACCAGTAAATAAACTTCCATAGACCCCAATGTTAAATGCTCCCACTTCAGAAATTCGGGAAAAATACTCCAGACTCTCCAAGGTGTTCGAGACACACATCAAATTAAAGCTTATTTCATCATCTTTCATTTTCTTTTCAATTTTTGGGGGTCAACTGATGACTTTTAGGAGAAATTTCCATCTGAAGATGATCACCCCTTAAAGTGGTCCTGAAGCCCATCACCATTTTGAAAAACGATGCCTACACTCCATTGCTAAATAGAGCGCTTTTAGGGCCCCAATTTCATCCAAATTGCACAGAACTACAAGCTCACAGTCCTGTGCACGGCTTCCACCTATATTTTTTACAACCCTCAAGTTTATGGCCCACAGTATGCTCAAATAAATCGTGATTTGGCTGGCGTAGGCAGTTTCGGACCGATTTACTGACCTGCACCCTTATGGCATTGTAATATATAATCATTAGCAGGTATTTCCTATTACCCCTGCTTGTCTGGCTTATGAATCATTTCTGAGACTTAATTGGCTTCTTTCTTGCAGCTACTCTGACATAATAAAGCTCTGTCCGTGATCTTGGGTGGAGGAAGACAAGTACTGTGTTGCGGTAAAGTATCTTTCTCAAGGACACAAGCACCTGAGGTCAAACCTCGATCAGGTTCACCCACAGAGCTATGCACATCGGCAACGCTGAATTGCAACTTTTTGTGCAAACATAACAAAAGATGTGCTATGCCTCCCGGTTAGAAAAGTAACACGATAGACCTTTCTCATATAGTACGCCATCTCGAAAAAAATTAAAGCAAGGCATTTGATGCAAACAAACAAATATAGCTGTGTAAAAAGTGTGTACCCGGTACGCTGAATGAGCTACTCTCACAAAGTTCCAGCAGATTGACAATCTTATGAATGGACAGATAGCTGAAATTCCCCGCAAACATCAACACACATTCTAGATAGGTCACGTCTCATTGTACATGTTCATCTTTTCACACCGTGGACGAAAAATACCAGAGAACAAAAGAGAACAAATCGTCCACGATTCCCAGCATACGTCCGCGATTGGGGTCGTGTACAAAACCTATGGGAGTCTTCCTAAAAAGTACAAACAAAAGAGGGACAATACTAATTCTGATATCTGTTACACCGTTGCAGAAGTTATGGGAGTGAAGTGTGGGATTGAGCGAAATGAAATACTAAGATTGCTTGTACTCTTGTACTGTAAATCTTGTATCCCTTGGTTATCCGTGGAGCATTCTACTGAGGAACACTCCAGGGATCACCTCAAAATATTCATTTATGACTTCCCACCTGTCAGCATAGCACCTCGACTTGGTGAACAGAACAGGGATGGGGCATACCACCGAGTAAAGCGCATCCCTTCCCTGCCCATCTGATCAATGGGACCAAACTCCTGTGTGGGGTGACCATAGGAAGACAGGTCTCCGTATCTATAAGAGGAAGAAAAAAAGATTCCAACTTTGTGAAACAGCAATTTCATTGATCCAGAATAGTTTTACACGTCAAGTTTGTCATGACCTATGACTGTTGGTACCACGACAGCTTAAAGTAAAGTCTGTCACCATTAAGCCAATATGGCGTTGATCAGGCCAGTGTTTATCTCTGGTTTCCTTGGCATGAAATGACTGAGAATATTTCTTTTCCCCCTGGATGGGATGCCAGTCCATTGCAGCGTAATTGCTCCCCAGCTCATGACGGATCCCCTTTATACTTCTGCCTAGAGAGAGTGGGGGCTGAAGTGGCTTGCCCAAGGACACAACATATGGTCAGCAGCTGGATTCGAACCCCTGACCCTCTGATCTGGAGTCACAAACCCTAACCACTAATAAGCCACACTCCCTGCTACCAAGACAGATTGTACAATCTTTTATCTTCAAGCAAACTTAATTCCTCGATCCTGATTGGTTAATCAATGGCAACAAATGAGAGGGTCCAACAGAGGCAGCCTAGTGTCCTCTTTGTACCTGTCTTACTGACCGACTGACTGACTGACTGTCACTTGTGAAACTGGTTACAGACTGGTGAGAGCTGGGCAGTGCTATCATATAGGACCACCCTAAAACACCAATGGGCTAAATTTGTCCCAATATCTAGACCAGATGCATATGAAAGTCTTCTATTTTATAGAATTATTTGTGCTCTTGGTCCAACTTTATTAAGGTTCCTTAAAGGGAATATACATCATTTGATTTTGCTGTAATTTTCAGAAATGGATGGAATTGGGGGGGCGAAATATAAAGCAAATATAGTTACACTGACTTTTTGGAGGTTTTGGGTTCGAAAATGCTATAAAAACCAAGAAAAACGATCATTTTCCTGTAGTCTGGTCCCCTGACTCCATATAAGAAGAAACAGAGCAGTTTACATACATTGGGGAATTGTAAGGTCAGGGAACCAGTCTAGCTGGCTCGTACCCGTTCATAGGTTTGTAATCGATTGCAAACAAGTGCAATGGTCAATTGGGGCCAGTATTTGAAAAAAAAGCCAGTTGTTTCCAACGCTGATCGGCCGATCAGCGTTGGAAATTGATACAAAAATACCACTTTTCTTGAAAATGACAGTATACCAGGTGCCATAATTTTACAGGATGCTTTAGACTGTCATTTACCAACATCCTATTAAGGTATTTCGCAAAAACTTGGTAGTTTTATTTTTCGATGTTTGCAAATGTTGTATATTCCCTTTAATCTTGCTCAAATCTCCTTTCTAACCCCCCCCCCCCTCCTCCCCCCCCCCCCCTTCCCTCTAAAAAAAAAAAAGCTCTGTACACAAGTACCCGTTCAACGGTAAGAAAGGGAGAGTTTCACTTGGAGAGACATTTGAATGCATCGCCGATGACACCCAACGCTCACGCGAAGACCCTTTGGCTTTGTGTACATTCAGAATGCAATCATTTGTGCGTACTTTGCGCCCCATCCGCTGGGCTCTCAAAAGTGGTAAAAAGGTGCCCTCTCTTGTTTGTGCACTTGGTACTTGGTACTTGAATGGTTCTTCTCCTGTAGGACTTCCACAAGGGAGTATAACTAGGAGGCCAGAAACACCGGGCAAACCCCTTCTCTTAGCGATAAGTGTTACTGGGTTCTTTTACGTGCATTGCATTACACAACACACGGGACCTCCGGCTTTACGTCCCATCCGAAGGACGAAGCAATAATGGTTAAGTGCCTTGCTTAAGGGCACAAGTGTCCAGGCCCGGGCTCGAACCCACGCCACTGTTTGCCTCTGAAACACCAGAGCATGAGTCCGGTGCTCTTAACAGCTAGGACATGACATTCCAACACAGAGCCCACTCTGGAGGGCAATTAACGTACAATTTGAGTACAGAGTTACCATATTACCCAAAGTCATCTGCCAAAAAGATGATAATGTTGGGTTGATCAAGGGCCGGGCGCATGGTGCATGCCAGCTGAGACATCGTGACAGTGAAGCATACCAACGCCGCTTGCATGGGTCTCTTCATTCTAACGGTACGGGTACTGTCAAATTAACTTGAAGCAATTCTGCAGTCAACTATCTCAGCTCTGTAACAATTCAGATTTTTTTAAAAAGGAGAACAAAAAGTTAGTGTTGTTGAAGGTTTAATTTGGAAACCAGTGAGAAGTTTGTGGATCGAGGCATGAAAAGAAGGTACTAGCAAGATAAGAAAGGGGGTGATTCTGAGAACCATAGATCTTTTATAGAACCGGCCATCTGTCTCTTAGAAGGGGGTTTATTCACAAACTTATGAACAGCAATGTTTTGAATTAATTTTTTTTCACCACCCCTTGGGACTCAAACCCCCCCCCCCCCCCGACTATATAAAGGGGTGGTTGGAGTGGCTACGACACCCCCTTCAATTTAAAAATCCCACATTTCCGCACATTGCCTAAATAATGTCACTCGATAAATATAGCAAAATTTGATTCATGGATTCACGCCTTATGAGTTTTCTGGCTGCAATTCCTCCTCCCCCCCCCCCCCCCAAAAAAAGACAAAGATAAAAATGAAAAAGATGTTTAATCCTCTTTTTATGTTACCAAGGGGTAATCATCACCCCGTTTATAATTAGTTGTGTAAAACCATGAAGGTAGAATTAAAAACTCAATGGTAAAACTAAAAGACTTGACCTTGAACTAAGACTAGCCTACTACCACGATAAAACGTCGCCCCAAAACCAAAACCACAATTTTAATTCGGGATTTTGGCCTCAAAAAGCCGTTTCTCCAACATAACTTTTAAAAATCAAATGTGACTGTGTTTCAATCACAACAATAATTTACAAAGTAACTTAGACAAAACTTGCGATCAAATATTATTACAAAACAGCCGCTCTCAACAACGACGCAACCTCGCTCGTCCAACAAGTAACGAGGTTGCAATAGGCGCTGTATCTAATTTTTCAATCAATAAGAATTCCGCCCTGGGGTCGAGTACACAGGTCGAGTACACAGCTAAAATGTCACCACGATTGACTTGAGTGACAACGGAGTGATATCGTACGATTGTGCTGATAATTCCTCTTAAAAACGGTGAGTATTTATCATTGTCATGCTTTAATAACAAATAATTCATATGTCACTACCGTACCCATTTACTTATTGTTTGATTTTTTGAAAGAAGAAGTCTCGAAGCCGTGGATTTTATTCATGAATTGCTTGACAAATACGTAAACGAAGAGTCGAAGACACAACACGTACAACAAGCAATGAATCATGCCTACATTACATCTCCGTAGGTTTGCATAGCTGATTTTACTACTTTAGTTTTGGGCTGTGTGTAGGCTAGCCCCATAAATGTGGCCAAGTTACTGGAGTAAAGTTCGACATGTTTTTGTACATGGTGGAAGTGTGGCCTTTATTTACGGAGGTAGTCCAGTAACTTGGCCACATTTATGCCATGGGGCCTACCACGCAAAGTTAGTCAATTTCAAACAGTGATATAAATAAGTATCATCAGCATATATGGCTCTAAAAATAAAACAAGTGTACTGCTGACATAAACGGGAATATCGACTCCTATTAATTATCCAAAGAATTAATCAGTCTTTTCAGAACATTGCATTCATTCGGATGAAAAAAGATAGTGGATATATCATTTGTGTATGGCATGCAGTGGATATTTTGCTGGAGACGGCAAACCTTTAGTAAATGTTAGCTTGCCGGATATGCACTGAACATGCACAGTTACTATTTTTTTGTACTTAGACATTTTCCGGTGACAAATTTTAGTCTGGCTCCATGCCAACATTATCGTTGTAACTTCGTATTCACAAGATGGGAATCAGACCATACAATTTCGGACTTTATTTCCCTTTAAAAAAAAATCCTCCAGAGCCACAAATCTGAAATAGAAAATGAAATACTCTGCAATAAAATGTTTGAGACATGTTAGAATAATAAAAGAAGAATATTCTTGGGGATGGGGAAAAAAAACCTTAGCAAATGTTGTATATCCTGGCCCTTTAAAAACCCACAATAATATGGACATGTTAGGCCCCCCAAAAAAATAAGTCGGTCTCTGGTCAGCGCGCGCATCGATTTTAATCATGCGCGTCGATCTTTTTTTTTTTCAAAAATGTTCCGCGGTAGCTCCAACAGCGCCCTCTATTTCCGCACCTCAATTTGTTTTACCAAAGAGCACCAAGGAGAGGGCAATTGCACCAAGGAAAATGATCGAAAGCACCAAGGCAAATTATGGAGGACACCAATGTACATGAGGACACCAAAAAAGCAAAATAGTACCCCACCTTGTCTGTACAATCCAAGCTTGAAAGTGAAAACACACCTCATGGACTTTGGAAATTTCCCAGGGAAATATCATGGAAAACTCTGGGAAGTTTGTTTTCATAAAGTGTTGGGAACCCTGATGATTTGTTATAGTGTCCAGATCAAGTTCCAATTTTACTCGGGTTAGACCCTGGATCAGTTGTATCACCGGAATGGAGTTTCGGAAATCGCAGGTTCAAACCCTGCACCTGTCAATTTCTGTGTTCAACTGTTTGTTATTGAAATGTTTGAGGTGTTGATAAGTTCAGTTAGATTTTAAAGATGTCTTCAAAAACGTTGTGTGTTTCTTTGGAAGAGCACCTTTTCCCCCAAAAGTAGGGTTTTTATGCTGGATACCAAAAATACTACCCCTACACCATTTTCCCCCCTAAAAATCAGTAGCATACAGTAACAATATACATGTACCGGTACGATGCAATTTACATAATGTGTACATGTACGTAGACATGCAGAAGAATAGAATGATGATGGAAAATATTCATTAGTTTTAATAATAACTATTGGTTGAAATACGAATGTTACACACCTCTACAGACTACAACTTGGGCTGTGTTACACCACCACCTCTTGACTTCCCAACAACCTCATTAAAGTGAAAACATACCTCATGGAAACAGCATGTACAGGTTTGTTGTTCAAATTTGTATCGATGTTTGTTGTTCATAATATAGTGCAAAACACATATGTAAAGACCTATCTACTTTACATAAACAGATGGCTGAGCGTACATGTACATGTAAGAGAGCGTTGTCCTAAATTTATTCTCAAAATCTGGGTGCGTACCGGTATATACATTTATTATAAAATCTCTCACGTGTACAAAATATGCGCTTTAAACATGTGCTAGAGTCTGGGATTACATTTTTCAAAACTCTGTCTCATTTATATCTAAAAACTAAAAGTTTCCTCAAAAACACATTTTGTTGTCATGAGGCTCCTTCTTTGGCAAAATACATCACGAAACAGGGCAAAGCAATAAGTAATTTGTATCACTACTTGTAATTTGCAATTTGGAAAAATGCATTATAATACATGAACTCAGATAGAATGTTCCTAATCAGGCCGAAGGACGAGTGACTTAATTAACATCAACAGTGCTGTTGCATTGGATCCAATTTACTGTATCCAGAGAGACTGTTCTACCTGAATGCTTCCATCAACATCCAGTAGAGGACAAGTGAGTGAAGAACCTAATGAAACGAATAGCGTCCAGTGGATATATGTATGTGTGTACATGTATGTATGCATCTCGCTGTCTAATTTGCATTCCAAATTCCACAATTCATACAGATACCGTTACTGGTACATCTCTACCTGAACAGATTGTCACAGGTATGCACTGGCATGTCATGTGAGCCAATTGACATGGGTAACCCATTGTTATCAATGTGGACCCGGACAATATTCTAGATAAACATTTCATTTGTTGGAGTCAACATTTTGCCCCCGCAAGGCCCCCGCTGATTCTCTGGGAAGCGAAGCCATTGTTTGCAAACAATCAGAAGCTTCCACTGGGGCTACTGTACCCTATTCAACACAAATCTGACTTCTCTCTCTTTTCTTGAGCAATTTCCTTCTAATCGTAATCATTCTTTGGCGCTGGCTGGATAAATATCTTAAAAGGCTGTGATGAAAAGACATCTTAAAGGATTGGATCAACCGTTTTAACAGCGCAGGCATCTCAAGGTATGCACACTGGCAACAAGTATCCTGAACCTGTACAGTTTCTTTAATAGAGATATTTGGTTGGCAAGTTGAACTGCCCTGCCATATTGACCACAAACAGTCTTTCAATAATGAGCTATTTACAGGACACGTTGAGAGACATTTAGCACTGGCAGTCCAGTAACAGTGCCGGTACATGTTCTTGTCCATAAAACTACATTATGATACTACACAGGAATTGAAATCCAGCCTGTTGTAAGAGAATAACATACTGTACATAATTATTGTGGGTTTTTAAAGGGCCAGGATATATACATTGTACAACATTTGCTTTTGCTGTTACAATTTTCAGAAATGATGGATTTGGGGGGTTAGTAGTTTATAGCACTTAGGATGAAATGGAGCAATGTATAGATGTCGGGAATTGTAAGGTCAGGGAACCAGTCTAGCTGGCTTGTACCCATTCACAGATGTGTAATCGATTGCAAACAAAATGCAGAGTTTTATATGGTAAATTGGGGGCAGTACTTGAAAAAAAAGCCATTTTTTTTCCAATGCTGGTCGGCTACACAAATACCACTTTTCGTGAACATGTGAGCAAACCAGTTGCCTTGATTTTACAGGATGCTTTAGACTGTCATTCACTAACAGTAACAGTCCAGCAAGGTATTTCATAATAATTTGGTAGTTTTGTTTTTTATGTTTGCAAAGTTGTAACTTGTATTCCCTTTAATTACATGTACTGTAGCCTTTTAGAGGTTAAAAAATCTTATTTAATTTTGATTATTGTACAAGTGGTACAGATGTGCATGCTATGGTATCGGTTGGCATTGCTTGACCATACACATACATGTACATGTACGGTAATGCATGTACAGTATAGCTAGAGTGCAGTGTACGAATGGTACCGGTAATTCCTGTCTTTGAGCGCAGTGCTTCACTGCCTGGTCGGAGACTAGCAGCTCTTGCCAAATTGTGCAAGAAGGGCGAAAGGTCTCATGGTTTTCTTTTATTCACTAGAAGGCGTGAACACACTTGCCATGTAGATGGCTATAGTAAGTATAATCATACATGTGCATTTTAGATGACATCATCAAGTGAGTCATCAGCCGCAGCTTGCAGATGGTTGTTTGAGCAGATTTTTTTTGTAGTTTGTAGTTCAAACACCCCTTGGGCTTTAAGTGGTGGGCAGTCTGCCAGTCTACGGCTTCGTGCAAGTCTGTGGCTTCATTTACAACTTGGCTTGAAACCCTATTACAATGCACTTACGTGTTTATGAATTTGTCAGAAAATTAGATTTTCATTCGATTCAACTGGGTGGATGGAGAAGCCTAATTAAAAGTGATGTTCTCTCAGATATTTCCAAAAATTGAGTGCTTGTTTACTTAATTTGAAGGTTTGGGTCAAAAGAAATCCACACACGTACACGTATGTGTAAGCCTAACAAAATAAGGAAACGGTAAAAAAAAAACCTGTTTGTTTTCATGGGGGGAGGGAGCATTACTGATGCATGTTTCCAAAAGTACTTGCAAATATAACAAATATGATGGTCTACCAAGTACCAGTACATCAGTGATTTTAATCAATTTAATTGGATTTGTATAGGGCCAATATACCAAAAAATAAAACCGACTTTGAATTTTTATATTTCTTCTTTTTTTTTGCGGGGGGGGGGGGGGGGGGGGGGCTGTTTTTGTGGTAGTGATTGATTGCAGGTGTTAAATTTTTTTGTGTTTTATGCTTCTTGGAATGAAAATCCCCACTTACCGGGTACACACATGTACAAAGCTTCAGAGTTCCTACATTCATGGAAAAATTCTTGGAAAATCCTAGAATTTATTAAAAGCTATCGCGGAAAGTCTTGGAAAAGTCATGGGATGTTTTTTAACAAGGAGTCATCGAAACAGGAAAGTTGATACTAGAAATAAAGCCAAGGAAAAGTCATCAATAGAATCCTGCCCAACCCACGCGTGATGATATTTAATATTTGGCTATAGCAGTCTTCCAGTTTACATTCCAGTTTACTTCCTCTTTGTGCGTAAAACCCATATTTGTTGCATGTTCAATGCGCCATTGCAATTTTGTTGTGGTGCCCAGTGGTCCTGTGTCAAACTGGAAGGCTGAAGGACGTCCCTTGCCTCCGTGTGATGACTGGCCAATGTATTGTAAGTAGGCTCCTGAGATGCCAAAACAGCATATGAATTGGTCATGGAAATCCCTTATTTTGTTTTGGAAAAGTCCTGGAATTTCACTTCACGATTTCAGTGGGAATTCTGAGTCTTGAATACTTACCTTGTAAGTTTCGGGGGAAAAATAACCTTTTACAAGTCTGTATACATGTACTTGTCCAGTTGCCCTCCAATATTTACATGCACTGTGTATTCTGTGAACATATGTATACGAACAAAGTACCTTGCTACCCCCTTGCTTTTCAATGTTACCAAAAATAAAACATATGTTGTTTTTCTATTTCATGTACTTAGTTTTTAATCATGGCATTTTAATCCTGCGGATGGGAGTTGTAAAGTACACGATACATGGGCACGGGTTTGCTTTGATTATTTCACAATATTCATCCACCATTGCACATGTATTTTTGAAGCGTAACAGGATACTTCACAAATCTAGTGTGTGCAACGTTAATCAAGGACAGTTTGATTACAAAATGCATATTGATAATTTAGCCAGAATAAAAGTCACGGGTGTTTATTGTCACTTCGGGCTCCATATCCATTACATGCAGGACCATACAGGCTTCTGGCCTATGGGGATGGAATAATGAGATCCGAAGGTCTTCAAATGAGTCATTTTAGTTCAGCTGAAAACACTGTACATTGTATTTTGATAAGGACGGGCTGAGACACCTCACACGTATTCGTGTAAGCTTGGTTATGAGTGTGTGTGCGTGCAGTACTTGCAAGGGTGGATCCAGAAACAAATTTTCGGGGGGCCAAGATGGCTCGAGTATTTTTATTTTGTTTTCATAAAAGGGGATGGGGATTAAGCATATTGTGCGCTATTTCCACATTGTAATATTAAAACTAAAACGTATGTGTAGGTGATGGCTTGCGAGGGAGATACGCAATATTTTAATTTATTCGCTGAAATGTTAAGACACAAAGGTGTCTTCACTCCTTCGATAAAAAATAATAATAATTTTTTTTGGGGGGGGGGCGTGGTCAACTCAATATAATTTTGAAGCTGTAAGATCTGAAATGATTGTTTTTATATTAAATTTGATGTACACGTACATTAGAATTGATTATTGGGTCTTGTTTTTGCCCAAGGGCAGATGCACCACAACCCCTCAAGAAAGATTCACACTAACAACCTACAAAATCCAGTACCATTCTATAACTTTGGATGGGTCGTTCCCCGAACACTCACACCCCAGACACTCCCCACACCCCTCTGTCACACCCCCACCCCTCCCTCACACCTCCACCCCTCCCTCACACCTCCCCCTTCCCCCTTCACACCTCCCCCCCCCCCCCCCCCACACACACGCACTTAACTGAATTATTGTCCTTAACAAGTACAACATTATGGAACCCATCTGTACCTTGGATGAAGCATCTCCCTTGAAATCTTGCAATCAGCTTTTATTGAATTTGAACTTCGGACATGTTCAAAGTTAAAGCACGAACAACATGATACAGCTTATAAATGTACATGGATCAGAATTACCACACACAAAACAGCCTTCCATTTGTTTGTGACACAAGCTAAAGAAAATAACTTGGAACATCCCCCAAATTTCTCCCCAATCTCTGATTGTGACCACATTCACTCGCTAGCAGTCTTGTTGGTTCATGGGTAGCCTGCCCATTGGAATGATCAGAGAGTTCCCACCCATTTTTTTTTCTCAGCATTACAGCTCAAGACTGTGTGCTAAATAAAAAAAAATGAAAATTCTTCTGGTGAGGTTGGATAAGTGTTATTGGTTTGAAAGAAAAAGTGGATATAAGGCAACAAAAAAAAAAGTAGTCGGTCTCTGGTCAGACTGAAGTTCCGGAATTGTTGCGGCGACGTGTTTTTTTTTTTTTTTTTTTTTTGGCTTTTTTTTTTTCAAGCTTGTATTGTACAGACAAGGTGGGTACTATTTTGCTTTTTTGTGTCCTCATTATACATTGGTGTCCTCCATAATTTGCCTTGGTGCCCTTTATCATTTGCCTTGGTGCAATTTCCCCATTCCTTGGTGCTCCTTGGTACAAAAATTTGAGGAGGCGCAGCAATAGAGGGCGCTGTTGTAGCTTCCGTGTTAATTTGAAAAAAAAGAAAGGTTGACGCGCATGATTAAAATCGACGCGCGCGCTGACCAGAGACCGAGTATTTTTTTTGGTGGCCTAACCGAGTTTTGAAATCTCCCATCACTATAAAAAACCTAAGTGTCAACTTGTCCGAATGTTTTGTAGGCTAATTAATGAGTCATTGGGGTGACATTGGGGTGACAGCTCCTACTTCAGTCCACTAGTCTTGTCTTGAGATTCACAGTGAAGCCTCTCTCTTTGCTTGTCAGCAGTCCGGCGACAGGCTGACTGTATCGGAATTGCATCAACCGTTGCCTCAGCTGTCTAAGGGCCCAACATTTCTTCCATTTGCCTCCCAAGTGTAATTAATTTAGGCAGCACTGACAAGCTCTTCAACTCGGACTGAGCCATGCAGGAAGTGTCCTCTTGAGTCTAGTGTACATTTCTGTGATGCCATCTTGAAGAACCTTTGCAAAAAAATCTTCATCTTGATACACGTATACACCACTGTAAAGTGCGTAAATAAATCATAAATCTTTTACCAAAAGTCCAGAAGCATTTTATGTGCTATTATTGGAAGTGATTTTTTAACACTGGCTAAAATGTGATGAAAAAGGCTTTGGTCTGTACCGGTAATATAGACCTTATTTTGTTGGATGGAGATTAAATTGTGCTGTAAACGGTATCATTTTTGAGGATTTAAGTAATGTTAAAAAATTAAGGGGAACTTAACAAAATGTTAAACTTGTTAAAAAATTGATTGTATGCAGTGATGTAGTTACTAGATGTAGTTATTCTACAAGTACCGGTACCTGTAACAGCCTGTTTAACCCCTTTCCCCGCTTTAGTATTGTTACGCTCCAACTAGACCATGTACCATCCCAACTTAGGTGTTCAGGATGGAACACTTTTAGACCAAATATAAAAAAACAACATGTTTAGCGTCCTCGCCCACTTTCGTTTTGGAGGCCGCCTCCTTTTTTTCTTTTTTCTTTTTTTGTAAACCGAAGAAAATGATAAATTTTAAACAGTTACATCATTTTGGCCTCTTTGCCTTTTGCATCTAGCCCATATAAAGCTGGTACGTCATTTCCTGAGTCAAAGTGGCCGCTATTTTAAAAAAAAGCTGGCAGCCATCTTGAAAAATAGCCCGGTCGGGCGGCCATTTTGGAGGGGGAAAAAAAGAGAAAAAAAGGGCCTCCTTCCTTTTTTTCAAAAAGGCAGGACGCTAAACATTTTTTCTTTTACTTGGCCTTAGTTTTGATGGTCCCAACTAAGGTTGGGACCAATGGTCTAGTTGAGGCGTAACAGTATCCCTCACACAAGTGAATGAACTTTTTACACATGAACACTGTATAATTGTAAAATAGCAGAGGGGTGAAATTTGGCCAGTGTACCGTACAATACGTGTATGTATGTAAACAGGGGCATTAATTGGAATAAACTTTGTGGTTGCATAGGGTTTTCATTCATGTCCTGTTATCCTTAATCATGGTACACGTATGTACATGTATGTTGACCCGATATTGACCTGGAACGTTTGGTTTTGCCCTGCTTACCCCCAAGCAGGTGGCCCAAGTCTTATCATAATATGTCTGTGACCTCATACTGAGGTCAGCTCTGATTTACAGGGACCAGTCAATCAGGTTGGGTCACTCATAATTTGTAAAAATACAGTGTACAGTGTGTGTGCTATACTCTATACGCTATTTTGATTTCGGGTGTGCTTTCTTTCCTCATTTTCCCCAAAACAATTAAAAGGAATGTACAACATTTGCTTTTGCTGCAATTTTTGGAAATAAATGGATTTGGAGGATTAGTATGTTATAGCAAATATTGTTGAAATGACTTGTTTCACGTTTTGGGCTTGTAGATGCTGGAAAAACCAAGAAAACCAATCATGTTCTTGTAGTCTGGTTCCCTGACCCCACTTTAGATGAACCAGAGCAAGCATGACTTTGGAAAATTGTAAGGTCAGAGAATCAGTCTAGCAGGCTTGTACCCCTTCACAGGTGTGTAAACAATTGCAAAAGAAAACGCGGAATAACTAATTATGAAAAATTAGGAACAGTTTTTGAAAAAAGCCAGTTTTTTCCAACGCTGGTCGGCCGACCAGCATTGGAAAAATACCATTTTTCTTGAAAATGACAGCAAACCAGGAGCCACAATTTTACAGGATGCTTTATACTGTCATTCCATAACAATCTAGTGAGATATTTCGTGATTATTTCATCATTTCGTTTTGTGATGTTTGCAAATGTTGTATCTTCCCTTTAAGGTACGGTAGAGGCTGTCAAAATAGGTAGGGTAGGGTAACCAGAAGCAGAACCTTTAATTTTTTGGCCTTATATTGTTTGTGCTGTTGTGTACAATCACAGCGAAAATTTGATGAAAATGCAGACCAGAGATACATGTACAACAGAATATAAATGGCAATATGTGTTTCACCCGTTCCAATATGATTTACACAGTTAATGAAAAAAACCCTTGCAGAGTGCCAGTTGAGTCATTTCCAATACAATGTGTAATTCCCATTGGACTGGTTGAAAAACACATGTTTACCTGTCCTTTCATAATCTGTTACAGCTCTGGTTTGCATGAATGAGTTTCCATGACATTTTCACTGATTATACACAAGAGTGTAATGAATATGCTCCATCAAAATGAAAAACTCATGTTAGGTGCTTTTGAGAAATTTAACAATATGTGCTTGCTCCAGTTTTTTGGGGGTCACCCTGTACTGTACACATGTGATCAGTTTAAAGTGTTCCAACCTCAGAAATAATAATAAATGCATGTAATAATACAGTCATATTTAATGATATAAACAAGTTTGTGTTTTGTGCAGCTGTAATGCCAAATTGCCTCAGTATGTACAGGTAAATGTACTAGATGTACAATACACAAATGGAACAAGACAAACTCCGTTGCAGGTTTACATTGTAAATAATACTGCAGTATTATGCACAGCCACACGATTTACGCAATAAACGCGATTGGATTAATGACTGGAAGTTAAAGGCGGCTTCAATTTCAATGCGGCACCAGGCTGACTGTCACCCTGCATCGGCCAATCAATAATGATCCGGATGGTCCGTCAGGCGGAACCAGAAAAATTGACTGATGACTCAGAAAGAATTTTGTAGCATACATGAACGAAAACTGGGTACTAAGCCTTGCGCTGCGAAGTGCTGAGCTTTTATTGCACTGGTGTAATTGCAAAATTGGTTGAAATTTTCTCAGTAGCGTAATTTTGTTTCTGGATGAGTGAATAATATTGAAGCTTAAGGGATTTTCAAGCTTGTATTAGAAACATATTGCTGCACATCAGTTTAAAATATCATCTGACTCATAAGGTACATGTGATATGCAAAGACTCGTAACTTGTGAATTTGGAAATGGTGTACAATTTTTTGGAGGATACAGCAGTGAATAGTTGATTTTTAAATTAAAAAGAGATTCTAGATTTTGTAGCCTTGAAGGATAATACTTAGCAGAGCTGTAGTATAACTGATAGTGTATTTCAGTTGGGGCCAAACAAATGTGTTCCCAAAAAAAGTGGGTCCAAACATTTCCCCCCCAAATTTGATATGAAAAGCAAGGGGAGGGTGCACATGTATTGCTTTTGTTGAGTTTGTGGGTGGTGTATGCATTAACTGCCCTTTGTGCGATGTATACAGTTCACATGTATATGATTATGTTTACATGTCGTGAATGTAAACACATTTGTACTGTGGATGGAAATTATGAGGCAGTTATTGAACAGTGTGATGAAAAGGCACATTGTAGTTCCATGGTTGGTCTGACAATTGGTGTTGTTGTAACCGTCCCTTTGAAGGGTATAATGGGATTAACAGCTTAGTGGGATTAGCCTAACTGAGCTTATCACACTCTTTAGCTGCATGGGATAATCTGTATTGATCTGGATAGTTCTGAGCTTGAATGTCTGGTTTTTGCACAGTAATGCCACTTTCCTTGAATCATGGAGGATCGACAAATTTCTTCCTTCTCTAAAAAAGTTTCTGGAAAATTTCCAGGATTTATTACTGTGCTTGTATTAAAGTCATCTTGACTAGTTTAAAGATTGAGTCTTGCCCACACGCAAGCAAGTGAATTTGTTTCCAAGTGAATTTGTTCCTTGTAAAGCATTCAAAATATGGTGATATGCAAAACATTTATCATAAGATGGAAATTTTTTTTGCGCCGGGGTGATATAAATCAAGTTAGGTCTGCACTAGAAAGCAGAAGGTCGTGGGTTCGAGACACACCCGAGTGATTTTTTTCCAACTTTCACTCGGGAGGTTACACATTGAGTATACTGTATACAGTGTTTAAACGTCGGTGAAGGGCAAAACCTAATTTGATTTAAAACATTTATCAAAAATTGTACATCACTCCATAGCAATGATTTGTCAAGAATTTCATTGTTTTGAACCTTCCTCTTTTCTTGCTGTAGAGTTACATACATGTACATGTACATCATACCGTATAATGTATCTTGGGAAAAGGGGAAAAAAATCTCTTATGAACTATAATGTGTGCATACATCTGCATGTTTACTTTGTTTTCTACATAAAACTGTGTACAAGCGTTTGTGCATGTTTTTTTTTTATTGCGTGCATATCTTCGTGCCTGTATGTGGTGTTTGTTTTAATGGTGTGCGTGTATGTACATGTATACATTGTAACTGAATTTCGAAACCACATTATTTCCTGTTTGTCATGGAATTGAAACTGATTGAAATTCAAGAGCGTATGTTGTTTTGATACACAAACATGTAGTGTAATGTGAATGAGTGTCGAGGCCTTGACTGTATAATGTGGAATTCAAGTGGGTTGCTTATAATACATATGAAGTTCTAAAGAAAGTAGGGGTTTATGCCCCAACTTAACTATGGCAATGGTCCCAACTATGGCAATGGTCCCTACTATGGCAATGGTCCGAACTATGGCAATGGTCCCAACGATGGCAATGGTCCCAACGATGGCAATGGTCCCAACGATGGCAATGGTCCCAACTATGGCAATGGTCCCAACTATGGCAATGGTCCCAACTATGGCAATGGTCCCAACTATGGCAATGGTCCCAACTATGGCAATGTTCCCAACTATGGCAATGGTCCCAACTATGGCAATGGTCCTATACATGTACATTTGGTGGAATTCCATAGTTGGGACGATCCTAACTGTAGTTGGGATCGTCCCAGGAAGACAACATTTGGAAATCTGCAAACCCTGCATGCAGTTTAGTTATATCATACATTTGTGTATAATGTACATGTGTACATGCTTTATGTACAGTATGCATGCCTGAACATAACAAATACATGTACCGGTACACGTACATTTGTTGTGTATATTGTATGTTACGTGTATAAATCATTTGAATGTATCGGTATGTACAGAGTGCCTTGTATTTTGACATTTTCACACCCACTGCGGAGTAACGTCACACCATGTTACCGGTATACTGGTATTATTATTGCAAGGGAAAGCTATTTAAATTTCCCAATGACCCAGAAACTTCAGACTAGGGAAATTGAGTATTGTATTACACGTACATGTTGTACTTATATTATACATGTATGTTCATAGTAATGTTGTATGTTCATAGTAATGTTGTATGGTGATCGTGGCCAAACCGTGTACTGTTGTGTTGTGTGTAATTCTCAACTGGCGCACTGAATTTCACTGCATGAATTCTTCTGCATGTACACATACTGTGATTTCATGTCCATAATTTGATTATACAGGTACAGTGAATGTAAAATGATCTTGTGATAGTACAGACACCTCGGTAACATTCTAATACAGATTTTTAAAGGGCATGGTACAACATGAACTACATGTATTTGGTAGAATGCCAAGAAATGTCAACATGCACGCATTGACATGTACATGGTCCATGGTCTCTATGTACATAATACTGTACATGTACATCTACATGTACATGTACATAGGTTACCGATGTGAGTGTGTAGGTGTGTACCAAACAGTCATGCCTAGGAGGTTTACATTTTTAATGGTCATTATTGTACTTCTGAATGACTTGTACAATGTACTTGCAATATCATCCATTAAATCTCCTATGCAAACATTCTCTGCCAAGTTGTACTTTCAGTCAAAATCAATCAAGTGACTGTTTTCAACAGTTAAGAATTCCCAACCTACAGTGTACATAAAGCAGGATTGACTGGCTGTGACTGTTTATGTAACTTGATACAGCTTTGCTTCGACTGTGGGTGATTGATAAGCCAGCTGTGCCCACAACTTGCCTGCTTGGTGGGTCTGTTCACTGAATTTGACTAGACACAGTGCTTGCTTGACATATGATCTGACTGTTGGTAACTACCGGTATATGTGTTAAAAGTATAGCAGGGGAAGTGGATGGAAATTTTGACTGTCTGTGACTGTTTAGATTGTAGTAGGGTTAGTTACATGTACATGTAATAACATTCCCTTTTGTAACATGCCAACTGCACATGTATATGTACATCATGTATGTTTCTTTTTATGTTTATTTACACATGCATAACATGTACATGAAAACATGAATGATGCAGCCATAATTATGCTACCACATTTGTTGACATACAGTTATGAGAGTGATAGGAGTATAAGTTTACAAGCATCAGTATGGTGTCAAACACTGTTTCTCCTACAGTGCACAAATTGGTTAGATCCTTATTTCTTTGAATCTGTCTAGCCTTGTGGACATCATTCACACCGCAAGACTTGCCTAGTGGCCTTGGGGCATTAATGAGTACCACTACATGTATGTTTTCTTAGAAAGTCTTACAAAATCACAGCTGGGAATAGTTTGTACATGTACTTATAGCGTAAACAGAATTAGACATGTACATTGTACTTGTAGAATTTGCAAACGTGTACGTCCACTTGTGATACTTGTCATGATGGGGAAAGGCCCACCAGGATTTTTTAATCATAGATTATAAATTGTTTATTGAGCATCTGTAATCATTTTTGGACACTGCATGAAGCTCCCCTGAAAAAAGGTGGCACACAAGTCCCAAATTGTTTGACACAGATTTTTCTTAACTTTGCACAATTTTTGCTGTCATAGAATCATAACAGGCATCAACTGTTGTATGTTTTTAATCTTGAATAATGTTTACTAAATAACAGTTCATACTTTTCTATTTTGCATGAGAGATCGATCAGCACCAAAAGTACATGTAATTCAGACATGTATTTTGCATACATGTGTACTTGTCCATGTACTGCATCCGATTTCATCAAACTCTTCGTAACTTACGATGCATCGCAGCGATGCGACGCGTCGTATCTCTATGAAGCGTCGCAGCTGCGACGCGTCCTGCGATCCATTTCACTAAACACGTCGTAAGTGCGACGCGCCGTTGGTGTATTTATAGCACAACTCGGTGACTGTTTTTTGTATTTAGTCAGCGTACAGTAAATAGTCGTCTGATATTCAACAAAGAGTCGTCAGATCTCAGTTCAAAATTTGTTAAAACGTAAAACAAAATGGCGGCCGTGCGATGCAATTTTAAAGGAAAACAAGCTCTCATTGGACTGTATAGCTACTTTGAAATTTCAACTCTAACATTCCGGTCTAATTCATAATTATTCAGTGAATTTTCTATTTACAACTTTACACACATTGCCTCGGTATTATAATCTCGTTAATGTAATGTTTATGGCATAAAACTGGCTTAGAAATGACTCTTCTTATTTTGCGACGACCACTAGACACGTCTTAATTTGCGACGTGTTTTAAGCCGTTGTCAAGGAACTTACGACGCGTTCAACACATCGCAACTTTCGTGAAATGGAAGATACGACGCGTCGCGAGTTGCGACGTGTTACACGTCGTAACTCGAGTTGCGACGCGTCACAGCGCTTCGTGAAATCGGGTGCTGTACTATCACTACTAATATTTGTATCTTATTTCTGGTGCATACGGTACTTGTTAAGTGGTTACTTTAAAAAAGAAAAAGTGAATTTTGTACACATGTACAAGGGAATTTACAACATTTGCAAACATCAAAAAACAAAACTACCAAATTATTACGAAATATCTGACTGGACTGTAAGTGAATGACAGTTTAAACAAAATCATGGCACCTGGTGTGCTGACATTTTCTAGAAAAGTGGTATTTTTGTGTTCCTGACGTCTATAAATTGCTCAGTTTCATCTTTAGTGGGGTCAGGGAACCAGACTACAAGAACATGATTGTTTTTCTTGGGTTTTCCAGCATGAACCCAAAAGCTCACACAAGTCAGGGTAACAATATTTGCTATAAAATACTAACCCCCCAAATCCATCCATTTCTGAAAATTACAGCAAAAGCAAATGTTGTATATTCCCTTTAACATACACGTGTATAGATGCATGCATGTCATTGCAGATTTTTAACATTAATTTCCAGGATGCACACAAGTCAGCCTTGATGAATTCTAAAAATACTCAATAACCCTGCCAGTGTTTGTTTTGATAGCACTCATTTTTTCCTCTCCCTCAAGGACGTAATTTCTCCATCACTTTGCAGTCTGGTTGACTACATTGGATAGTCCCCCCCCCCTCCCTGTGGTTACTACCCAGCATGTAAGTAGGATATGAGAGTTAATGCAAGGTTAACTAGGGAAACCACTGTCCCAATTACATGGATTGTAACCACAGTGCATTTCAGGACACCGGCCTTGCAGGTCATGCACACTTATGTACTGGAACATTCTCCATGTCTCCATGTACCCAACTATCTTCCTGTTTCGTTCCGGCAGTTACCGTAATGTTCACATAATTGATTGACCATGCCAGTTTTTGCTCTAGATTTGTCAGGAGGGTAACATAGAGTTCTACAAGTGAGTTTGTGTTAAGATTCAGTTTCATTTGAATGAAACAATATGGGCAAAAACACCATGAGTTAGACAATACAATACTGCAACACAAACAAATATTACATCACCACTTCCAAATAGCTGTTGTTACATTTCACACATATGTATGTATTTGAGCTTGTATTTGTTGACAACAAAATTTCTTTTTTGCAATTCTTTTGCAATGATGGAATAGACCTTTATCATGCTGCCACCATTTCAGTCATGTTCCCTGTATCCAACAACAGTACTGAATGTTAATGTTTTTGTGCAAAAAGTAACCAGACTATTTTTCCTTCCAGTCTCGCTTTGGTTACATGTACGTTGATTTGAATGGAAAAAGCAAGATGGCTGCAACATGATAATGGTCTATGAACTAGTCTTAGGATGTGATTTTGAAGGGGAAAAAAATATGGGGTTTTTTTTTGGGGGGGGGGATTTTTTAACAAACATGTTGCAATTGCTGTTGAGATAACAAATTACAACAGAGTTTGCGAGGTATAAAGCCATTCAACTCGGGGAGGGTGGGTTGTTATTGGAGTAATATGTGCATACCTTCATGTACGCAGTACCCATTGAACATAAACATTGTACATGCATGTACAAACTACAATGTATTCCCACATCCATGTACGGTAAGATGTGTTCACAGAAAATTTAAATACCGAAAACTCAAATCACATGTACATGCGTAAAAATGTGTTGACATGTATTTGAACCCATATGTACATGTACGGTATGTACATAAATGTGCATGTTCATACATGTACATGTACATACATGTACATGTACATGTGTGTACAATTGAGCAGTAAGGATTGTAAGGCCAGCACATAGGATCAAATCACTTCTACTCCTGCAGTTATCTGATGAATCAATTTTAGTCAGTCATTCATTTCATTCTGGGCTTCTTTTTTTTCTGTCTTGCAGGAAAGGCCGGGGACAAGCTCGCTGACGTGTCCTGTGCAGGAAGAGCAACATTTAGGAGTAGATCTCAGTATGACTCAGCCGCACTGAGCCTGTGGCAATACTCTGGCTAGTCACACACACACACACGTGTAGGATTAGCGAGCTGTGATAGTAAGCTACTGTATGCAGTGTTCCACGCCTACTTGCAATCTTTTATGCACGGTGTCCCCCTAGAGATGCACTGGCTTCACTGTGCTGCTTTAATAGCTTAGATACTACGGTGCTGTACAGACATGTGCACTACTTGAAGGCACTACGGCACGGTTTGGATGACAGAGAATTTTCATTGAGTCGTGGATACTGTCTGTAAGGATCATTTACCCAGATATTGCACGCGTCAGTCGACATGGACGTAGCGAAATGTGAAGGAAAGTGTTAAGCTTGTGTTCTTGATATTTGCATACATGTATGTGTAAACATGTATGTATAATTCGAGAAGTGAATTTTGTTTGAATGCCTATGAGTGATTTATTGAATTAGAAGGCTGTTTACATGGATCATCAGAATGTGGTGAGTGTATGGCCAGCTTAACTCCCTGTTGGAAGTGACCATGTGATATAGCCTGGAGTTGACTTTTGGAGCATTGTGCATTGACAGTGAAGTTATTATTTATTGGTGAGTAGTCTCCATGATGGGGAGTAACCCATCCTCATTGGACCCTCAAGAGGGGGACCGGGGAGGGGGCACCAGTGGTAGCGAGACCACCTCTCCACTTCCACCCCGTGCCGGCCCCTCTGCCTCTCCGCCCGAATTTCAGCGTCACGGACCGTCGCATTCTCGTCAACCGTCGCATCATCATCTGCATCCTCATGGAGATGAAACCTTGGAGCTCCCTTCCCAACCCCAGCCCCCGGCCAAACACGAAAAGGAGAAGAAGAAAAAGACCAGCCTTGCCTCGCTTAAGAAGCGCATTGTTCGCAGGAAGAGGACGGGCAAGTCTCTGGACCACGCCCGAGCCATGCGGGAGATGGCGTCTGGATGGAACCACCCGGATGTCTACGCACTCGTGGAGGAATATGACGCTCTCGCAGCTCTGAAGGAACTAACCATTCAGACCGACCTGGCTCGCCCTAGTGCTGCCTCCTTGAAGGACGACCTATTGGATCTGTATGACTATAAATTCTGCTCTGATATTGACTTCATATTCCGTGACACCGTTTTCCCCGTTCACAGGGCTGTTTTGTCCTTTCGGTGTCCCTACTTCCGCAAACTCATGTCCCAGTTTCCCAAGTACGGAGCCAAGGTGCCGGTCAAGCTGCGATTAAGTGGTGTCAGTGTCAGTACCTTCTCAGCCCTGTTACGTTATCTGTACTCCGGGGATTTCATAGCTCAAGACTCGCGGTTGGACAGCCTGGACACTCTGATCCAGCTAGGGGAGAAATTTGGCACCCCGAGCCCTCTCGAGCACGATCTCAGGCACTTGCTTGAAACGGGAGAATTCACAGATGCTGTGCTTGTCTTCTCTTCTGACTTGGAACCGGAGACATCGGAAGTTCCTACCGAAGCAGCTTCGGCGCAGCCAGCACCGCACAAAACCAGCTCGCTGCGATGCCACAAAGCAGTCCTGGCTGCGCGCTCCCCGTTCTTCCGCAACCTCCTCCAGAAGAGGCAGCGATCGGGGGAGGACTCGACCGAGAGAACGTTACAGGCGCCCACCAAAATCGTCCTGGACGACTCTATCATACCAAAGAAGTACGCACAGGTTTTACTGTACGCCATTTACCAGGACGTGCTGGACTTGTCACTGGTGTTGCCGGATAGCCCAAGTGTTGGGAGTTTAGGGGAGGCCCAGGCCATGGCGGCAGGCAAAGCACCCATGAGTAGAGTGGAGATGGCCATGGAACTCTACCAAATAGCAAGGTTCCTGGACTTAGGATCTATGGCACAAGGTATGTATACATGACCACAAATTTCATGGGCAAATCTTGAAACTAATGATCGGGAGGAACTGTTTGATACCAAATCTTGCCCTCCTAATCACCATGAATGATTGTTTCCATAACCCTAACCATGCTAAATCCAGCAACATCTAACAACAGATTCTAGTTGACCCTGTTCCATTAGGAAGACTTTACACTTCAAAAGCTGTTTGATTGATGTATTCATCATAGTCTTTTAAAATAAACTTGGAGCAGGGTTATGGTTTGAACAGTATAGTGGACATCAAATACAATTCCAGTCATGTGAAAGGAAAAAGTTCCTTTTTAACTTAACTGCATTTTTGGTTGTGGTGATGTTCCTTCCTGTTAAAACCAGGCCATTTTGGGGGTATTTTTTTTGGGGGGGGGGGGGAGAGGGGGAAATTTTGTCGGGAATTTGATATAAGAAGCAATACTGCTCCATGCATTTCAAAGGGTAAAATTTGACACCCAAAATCTGACAAAAGTGACTTTTGAGGTGGCATAAGCACATAAATGGACTGTCGGTATAAAAAAATTGTCCATACCAAAATATTGTAAATGATTGCAAGTGTCTAAATGTCTTGTCATGATTTCAACTTCTGAACTGTACATTTCACTATCCAATGGTCATTGTCTCTGTGTTATCTGACCAGAGGCAATCAGATCTTGGGGAAATAAAACGGCAATAGCCCTTTTTACAAGTTACTTATAGTGAGTTTAAAGCATTTATGCCCACTGCTGACCGCAGTCAGCCAACCGCAGCAAGCTCATTGGTCCAATGGTAAGATGTCTGCCCCAGTAAGCAGGAAGTTGTGGGTTCGAGTCCCGCCTGAGTGAGCTTATGAATTGTTTTTAGGCAAGAAGTAAGCAACACTGAGTATCAAATCCAGGCATGTGATCACCATGAGTTTCCCCCTTTAAAGAGGTTGTGGAATGCTCAAAGACATTTCTGTCATTTTTCAGGTATATGTAGCCTAAGGTGTGATGAAGTAAAAACGACTATTGTGTCTGTCATGAAATGAGTACAAAAGGTACTTCTGAGAGCTATTTTTCAGGTCCTGTTTCGACCCGAACGTGCAATTTGTGTAAAAGTTGTCGTTGGGGGCAGCAAACAAAACATAGTAAATCGTGACATAATAAACAGGACTCCCGATGCAGCGTAGTATAAACGAGTCCTGTTTATTACGTCACGATTTTTCTCATTTTACGAAGAACCCGACGACTGTTGATTTCAATTATGCGCTCGCCGACCAACAAATTACTCGATAAATTTCAGTTCTATAAACATATAAACGCACATTACAAAAGAATCGGACTTTGTCATATGATATATATGGGTCTACTCTACAATAAAGAAATATAAAAAAACAAAACGACTTTCAGCATTCCACAACCTAATGGAGAAACCATTGTGCATGCTATTGTACAAGGCAACCACCCCGTGAAGGATTATCTGAAAAATAGCTAGCACAACGCCTTCACCATTGAAGGGGGCCTTTGTGATGGAATTGATAGTGTGCTCAGATCGGTCTTAATAAAACTATGTCCGTGAATGACAAAATCATGTATTAATTCCTTATATTTCTGATCAATCTTGCACAGCTTGTGAAGACACACTTGCCAATGCCATCAGCACAGAGAACCTGTCCTCCATTCTCAACTGGAGCGCGGAGCCCCACGGTTCCCGCTGGGTGCACCGGCAGGCCATGCACTACCTCAGGGAAGAGTTCTCCACAATCAGCGGCTCCGTGGTGCTCTTCGAACTCAGCAAGGCGTTGCTCAAGAAGGCCATCAAGTCAGATTTCTTGCAGGTTGGATAGAAAGTTTTGGTGGTTTTCCTGTGATAATTTATTGCTTTCAAACATGCAGCTCATGTTTGAAAGCAGCTTGTCGTAAAAATTGGGCTACAGCATGGGTGCCCTTCCATTGCCTCATAGCACATTCCAGCCCTGCACATCATGCTCACATCAAGGCATATCAGACTCGATGGGGCATTCAAATTAAATGGTCCAGTGATCAGGATTTGCATGCACAATGAGCTGGATGAATATTAAAAACGTATTAAAATTTGACATACATGTACCTGACTAGCTGATACTAGAAAGATTTTAACGATGCAAACTTGTACATGTGTACGATTGATAAAATTGGTGTCACAGGCATTTCTTTGCATCTTCTTGAGACCAGTTACATTTTTCAAGTAATGCTATTCAGATATTCGCGGTGGATGATCAAGTATTTAAATATTCAATGTTTTTGACATGGCCCTACAAGGGGCTGGGCCTTATGGGTTGGCTTATTGCTAACGACATGTATTGCCAGGAATTGACTGGCAGGGGAATTGTGAATAGCGAGCTGTCTCCCCAAAGAATTTGAGTCATGACTCTGAAATCAAGTTTGGAATTGATGTTAATCTGTTGTGATTCATAGTATCGGTCTTTATTTTCTTTTGCACTAGGCCAGTGAAGCTGAAGTTCTGAAGGCTGTTGTGAAGTGGGGAGAGCACCAACTCATTAGAAGGATGGAGGACAGAGGTAACATTTCCTTTAAAAGATCCTAGCCATGGAACATTAGTTCCACCGGGCCTTTTTTGAAGGATTTCTGAGGATTAAGGCTGTAGACCATTAAAGTGCCAGTTCATGTGGGAGGATGTGCTGTGTTTTTCCATCATTTCTGTCGGGTCGCGTTGGTTTTGGTTTTGTGTTTGTGATTTTCAGGTCGGGTCGGGTCGGGTCTGATTTGGGGAGTGTAGATCGATTTTGGTTCAGATTTGGTTTATATTTTTAATATTTCGGGTCGGGTCGGGAAACCATCCTGTGAATAACCTGAAATAAACCGAAATAAACTGAAATAGTTGGGAAATTCACACGGTGCAATATTATTACAGATTTACTGTGCCCGGTACGACCAACACCAACCCACCATGCCAATGTGCATGCGGTTTGCGGTCTATCACGCACAGTCTATAATGTGTAGGCCCACCAGAAGGTCATGTTATGAGTCTTCACTGTACAGTACGGTACGATTTAGTTACTGAGAGACGGCAATTTTTGGTTCGGTCGGGTCAGGTCAGATTTGGGTTGTATAGATCGATTTCGGTTCAGATTGGGTTTATATTTTCAATATTTCGGGTCAGTTTGGCCTGATCAACCTGACCCAATGCACAACATTAAAGGTATAGTCCATCATTTGTAATTTGTGCATTTTGTTCGTTTGAAGCAACACAAGTTTTCACAATCTAAAGAAGGATGCTGAACAACTAACCTGATGAAGTTTCAGCTCAGCTTCAGCTGTACATTTTGAGAAAACAACATTCTAGGTTCACGATTTCAAATCAAAAGTTGCTGAATCGTGTTTTGAATTGGGCCTGAATTCAGCGTCCGAGACACGTTCTCACTGAGCCGATTGCAGCTACGCGATGTCGCGCACCGATCCGACGAATTATAGCAACTGCGCCCACGTGTGCCTCATGTCAACGCCAGCTGAATAAAAAAACAAACTACTAACAGAAATTTCCAACGGTGCGTCTTAAGACGCACCGTTGGAAAGACCCTTTTTCGTTGATTTCTTCAAAATTACAGCAAGGGAGTTTAGTTCCCTTACTATCTTTCAAACAAGTATGTTTTTCCTCAATAATAACGTCAGTTACTTTTTGGATAGCTGCAAATGATGGACAATAGCTTTAATGTATAGGCCTACATTATACTGCATGCCATCCGCACTGCTTCTGCATATCATCCTCACTGCTGCAACGTGTTGGAGGATTTTGAAGGATTGAGGCAGTGGTTAATCCTCCACTGAACAAATTCAGGAAATAACACATGATTTTGGAGGATTGCTGGAGGATTTTACAGGATTTAGCATGCATCCTAGCCAAAAGGGCCTTGTGGTTAGGTTTAAAAGCAGGTTAAAAGGGCTTTTTGAGCTTGATCTGTTTCACGCATGTAATTTGAACCGGGTGTTGCATTTATTGATCTCTCCGCAGAGCCCAACCTGGTGAGTAACACCCAGCACAGCGTCAGTCGCAAGGGCATCAAACGGCGGGACATGGACAACAAGGAGTTACGGGAGATCATCAGCGACCTGCTGCCGTTGGTCCGACTGGACCACATCATCCCCCGCAGTCACGAGACGCTGACCAGCGCCATCAAGCGGGGGCTGATCCCGACCCCGCCCTCTCACATGCTGCCTGGGGATGAGCTGACGCCCCAGCACAACCTGTGGATCGCTGGCAAGCGACGGCGCAACAACCCCCGGCCCAGGCTCTTCACGCCTTACGTGGAGGAGGCAAAGGTACCGGTACCTGCGCACATTTTTCACACATGGTTTTCCTTTACAACATAATTTTATAAGCACGGCTGTCCAAGATTTGTGAGAGAAAAAAAATACAAGCTTGCTTGTGTGAAACTCTGAGCAACAACCTCCTGCTGTTTAATGCAGATGTCTTAAACATTTGACCACTAAGCTTCCCAAGGTCGGCTATGTCTTGCCTGAGCACCTCAAAGGTAAGCCCCATTATTATGGGCCCTTTGAGTGGAAGAGAGAAAGATTGTTTTTTATTTTTCCTTATTCTTTTTTTCGCAAGTACAGCTTTGCTATTGTTCCAACTTAGCGATTCCGTGCAAACAGCTGATATTAATGTAGCCCTAACCCCTTGGGTATCTTTCAGGGGTGTGAAATCTCAGCTATAAAGCTGATTTCAGCTTTTTTGGTTTTGGATTTCAGCTTTTTTCCCTCACTTGCTGTGTACAAAAGTATAGGAGATTTCCAAAGTTCAGCCTTTTTACACCTTTTTCAGCTATTTTCATCAGTGGTCACTCACACCCCTGATCTTTACTAGAAAGTATTCCGAATCCGCCAAAATCCACCAAATATGTCATGCCAAGAATGTTGGCATTGATGACTGCTCAGTATGGAGGTATCCTGAATCTATCAAAATCCCGCAGTACCGCTAGGTTTACAATCCTTAATCCATCAACATTCCCCAGTTTTCAATACGGAGGTATCCTGAATCCGCCGAAATACAAAACATGGATTTTGATGGATTCAAGGTGGTTATGATTAAATGAGCTGTACTGCCCGAAAATCACTGACCCTCCTATGCATACATGCTTTCTGTGCAAAGTTGTCCTTTCAGTCAAAATCAATCAAGTGACTGTTTTTAAGAGTTAAGAGCTCCCAGCCTACATAAAGCAGGACTGACTGGCTGTAACTGTTTATTTAGCTTGATAAAGCTATGCTTTGACCTTAGGTGATTGATAAGCCAGCTGTGCCTACCACTTGCCTGCTTTTGTTTGTTGACTGAATTTGACTAGTTCCAGTGCTTCCTTCAAATATGATCCGACTGTTGGTGACTAGCCTGTGTAAAAGGCATGACAGGGACAGGATTGATTTGCTTGATTGTCTGTGACTGTTCAGACAGCAGGAGATTTAAAATACCTCAAATAAACTGAACAAAAAATTTGCAGATATGGGTAAACATTCAGAACAATAATTATATCAGATAGTTTCTTGTTTATAACCAATTTTGTGTATCAAAATTGTCTACTCAATCACATGTCAAATAAGTCACGAGGGATCAATTTTTACAAAATTATGGTGAAACCTTACACACATGTGAATAGATGTCTGGTAACTTGAGACTGCATGATTATAAGATAGATTTTTGTTGGCTGTTAATGACAGCTCTGGTGTTTGTCCTCGTCAACCATTCTTAATATGCATTGCTCTTACCTCATTACATCTTCTAACACAGAGTATCCTGGATGAGCAGATGGTCTCAGACATTGACTCGGTTCGTCTTCGTCGCATCCGCATGTCGTATGTCCCAGACGCCCTCTATATGCTAGAAGACAGGGGCGAGTGCTCATCAGAGAGCAACGCGAGTCGGTTACAGTCATGTCCGCCCGCGGGTGTCACGAGTGCATTCCCAAGTAAGTATACATGTTTGCCAATCACAAATCCAGAGACAAGTAGTGAAACTTTTCAGAGCACCCCACTTTTTGAGGTCTCTGCCATATACCGATAGAAACCATAAGTTTTTGAAATATTGCAGTTTATTTTGTCAAGCACATGAACCAAAATTGTGAGATACAGTCAGAAGGGATACGCAGGAAGAACACTTGTATTAAACATGTATGTCCATCATACATGTATCTGTGGTCAGCTGTTGGATTTGCGAGTTGAGTCTCAGGCAACAGGAGTGGTTCCCTCTTGTTTTCACTTTTACTCTGAAGCAGTGACAGGGGAGGATAACTGTGAGGCGTTCTGGCAAAACGAGACTGGGCAAAGGCCATAGTAAAGAAAAAAAGAAAGAAAAGAAATGGGGTTGATATTTGTAATCTTTTATATGTCTACTACACATAATTTATAGAAATGGTATCAAAATTGTGGAATAAAAGTGTTTTTAAAGAAAAACATTTGGCATCTTTCACTTTCATGAATACAAAACTCAAAACTTTAATACAAAACAGTATTGTAAGGAGAATATTATTCTCTTTCATAATACTCGCAAACCCTCATTTTGACCTCTGCCCAGCTCCATCTCATTATGCAAAAACGCCTCACTATCAGTACTTTTTGGTCTCATTTTCAACTGGATTGTGTTATCCGTCTACATCTGTTCAGCGAAAAACATTTTAGGCAGACGATTGTTTCTTGGAAGATTGTCACTTTGCTTGACCCAGAGGGCCAGCCTATAGTCCTTTTGAACATTGACTGACTGTCGCTTGTGAAGTAGACTTGCTCAAGCCTCACATTGTCCCCAAAATTTGACTCCGATGACTACCAAGACCCCATATACCAAATTGGTCTATGACCAACTTTACTAGGCTAGCCTAGTCTAGTTTTCATATTTCACTGTTACCTAGCCCCATAAATGTGGCCAATTTACTGGACTACCTCCGTAAACATACCGGTAGGCCACACTTCCACCACGTACAAAAACATGTCGAACTTTGTCAAATTTTGATTTTCACATTTAGGCTTAGTTTGTAGGTTTTTTTGGCTTGAGAAGCATACTCACCCTTTTTATAGGCTAATAGAAAAAAGCAGAAATTCGACCTTAGCTGTTGATTGGTCAATCGCTGTTGTAATATCATTTTTGTAATACAACAACGGGTTCCCGAACACCCTATAGATGGCACCCGCAGAATAGTCAGAATCTGGAGTGCTACCGTAGGTCAAGGCTTAAAAACCGTTTCAGATAATTGTCCCAGTATGTGAATGAACAGAAGTGCTGAAGTTCATTTGGGGAAAACCACATTGTACACCTGCCAGATTTGTTAAATAGCGCCCTCTTTTGTCAGCAACTCAATTGACATCTCTACATGTACATGTTATTACATCGTGTGTATACATGTACATATACATGTACATGTGAACCTGGAGTGTTTTTACTTATAATGTACATTAATATCTCTAGAATAAACAGCACGTTTGTGGATTTGATTAAGTACGTTTTATTACCTGTCAAATGTAGGAGAATGAAGTTTATTTATTTTTGGCAAAGAAGGAAGATTTTGTTTAATGCATGTACCGGTAACTACGTGTACATGTAAATGCTGTAAAAGGCACAGTTCTGGAAAATGCATCATTTTGAATTTTATTCCATCCAGTATGAACTTGCATACATATTTTTACTGACACTTTCACAGGCCTTCATTCGTTGAAAAATGTGAGGCATTCGGGCAAACTGAGATGGAACTGGGCACAGGTCGTAGTGGAGAAAAATGCAAAAAAACTGCATGGGGGTGATTTGTTTGTGATTTCCAGATTTATGCCTACTCATATTTGTAATCTTTGATATGATGTAGTATAAAAAATGTGGAATAAAAGTGTTTTTAATCCTAACCCCTAGGCCCTTTTTGCTAGGAAACATCCTCAATCCTTCAAAATCCTCCAATATTGTGCAGTTGTGTTCTGAAGGATACCCCACTGCCTCAAACCTTCCTCCAACAGCTCTGCCTCTCCAAATGCATTCATCCTCAATCATCTAAAATCCTCCTCTTCTTCAAACACCATTCAGCCACAATCCTCAAAAATCAACCGGTACTGAATGTTCATGTGCCCTCAATCCTCCACAATCCTGCAAAATTATAGATGTTGCATTCATCCTCAATCCTCCAAATTCCACCAAAACTGCCTAGAGGACTTTGGAGGATTGAGGAGGGTTAGAAAATACAAAACTCAAAACTTTAATTGCCTTTTTTCAATATTTTACTTTTTTGACCATATAAATGTAAACTTCAAACAGCCATGACTTGTCAATAGAGTGTCCGATTGAAGTGCAACAAACAGTATTGTAAGGAGAATTTTATTCTCTTTCCCAATACCTACAAATCCTTATTTCAACCTCTGCCCAGTTCTGTCTCATTTTGCCAGAACGCCCCCCAAATGTGGTGTTTGCCTTTTACAGAAAGCTGTTGTTGGTGCCACAAATCCTGGTTTACCCAAAAGTCATCATTGGAAATACAATGTACTGGTAGTTGAAATTTGTAAGCATTTGTTTTTTTGCATGCCACAACGACTCCGCAGTTTAAACTGTTTGGCACCAGAATTACGCGTTTTAATTCCCCTCAATCTTCCAAAGTGCTTTTGTGTTTGTGTGGAACTGCATGCAAGTGAAGGTCGGATGATTTAACTACCGGTACTGGACAATAATATGCAGGATGTCAACCTTGAAGTTGAAGTTAAGTGACCTCCTGAAGGCCAAACGGTTAGGTTCATGCTGTATTAATTGTCCGTTCTATTATCAAAGGTCATGTACATGTGTAATTGATGGCCCCACATTGACTTGTAGTACACATGTATTTAATAGAGAGTCTTTCCGTGAATCTTGTCGGTAAGAAAATTATACAGCCTTATGGTTGCGAAGGCTTTGCGTCATACGTTGATAAGCAAAGTTAATCCGATTACGTACATGGACGCCACAGACAGAGCACCCCCCAAAAAAACCCATTGCTTTGAACGTTCTGTTTTTCAAAAAAAATATGCTCTGTATGATTGAAATGTTAAATTATAACAGTAGAAGAAATCATAAACCTCATGTCAGTGAAAAAAATTGCCGTTATTGATGTAGAAATGTCAGTACTGGTCACTGGTATCGACCAATGGAAGCCCGCCAAAAAGTTGACATCTATTAATTAATTGCTCGTGAAGGAGGGTCGTACAAATTTTGACTGCACACCATATGCGGCGCTGTCGCCAGCCCCGAGCACCAGGGGGGCCATAGTACCAACTAGGGGGACCCACTACCATACAAAATACAAAAATTCATATGTATCGTTTTTGCCGTGGGGGGGGGGGGGGGGGGGGGATTGCTTGCCAAGGGGGCCTGTCACTACTAGGCCCCCCCCCCCCTTTGGCGACAGGCCTGCATACAGTATAAGGATAGAAACCTTATTAATATCAGTGAGACTTGAAAAGATTGATAGATACTGCAAACACCATTTGTTACAGCTTTGCAAAATGGACGTACCCAAGCCTATTTTCCCAATTATAATGAAAAATACTGAACATATCGAAACAATTTTTAGCACATAGTTGGATTATTATAAGGGAAACAAACTCCGAAAGTGGCATGAAGATACGGTCTTCAAAACGGGAGAAATTGATGTTCAAAGATTTTGCCTTGGAACATCAAAATGTCTGTATGACGGTAATTTGAGCTTGTTTCATTTGAAATATAGTATTACATGTACATGTACATAACCCTTACAAATCAGCCTTCGCATAAGGTTGTATAAACGATGTAAGTTCTTTTTAACAGACCATTCCGAGCACGCTATTGTTGTACATTGTCACTCACTGCCAAAGCATTTGCAAGCTATTGTTCAGTTAACATGTCAATGGGCAGTTGCTTCGTACCGGTACAATAGCTGGCAGAATGCGTTCACCATTGTGGGGGGCCTCCATGAGTGATAGGAATAGCGTGCTCAACTTGGTCTATAGTATGCATAGGTGACGAATATTTGAGATAAACAACTTCGACAACTACAGGAATCAAAGTCTCTATTAAAAATTTGTGGGAAGTACATGTACCAAAGTTTATCAATTTGAATCAAGTGCCACTCGGTAAACGATCATGACATGATAAGTGAAAGTCAGCCATTTAATTGAGAGAATGTCAGTGTGGGTTTCGATCCTTGTCCATCTCAGGAAGTTCAGCAGGTTAGTTGGACGTAGTTCATGGCCATGGCTGTTGGATATTTCCTCTGATTTTTAGCCTTAATTGCCGTGGATATACTGGCTATGTACATCATTACATGTATGTACCGATACCTGTGCATGTACATGTATTTCAGTTAATGACCATTCAGTGTACATGTAATATGGCAACAATGACTAATTTTTAAGTTTTTATTCAAAACAATCATGTAAACACTTTGACCACTGGACCAAGTGTTTTAAAGGGCCCATGCAATGTACCATAATTTGTTTGATGCAATTCTTGAAAATGCATCTTTGTGTCTCATTTAACCTTATTTTCAAGTTTTATTTTGCCATTTTGAAGGGCATTTTGGTGCTTTCTTGTTTTTTATGCTTATGAAAATTTCCTCATTCGTGAGCAAAACTGTGACGTCATTCCGAGCAGAAACTTCAATGTTTTAGCTACCGGTATCTTGGCACATTGCTAAAAAAGTTGAGTATTTTTGAGATATTTTGCTGTCACAAATTTTATTTTCTTTGGTGATTCATTTTTGTACATGTTCATGGCAGTATTTAATACTGCCAATACACAAATGTTTTCAATAAGCAAATTTTGGGTTCACAATTTAAACAAAAAAACCCTAAACCAAACAGTGTCTTCCTGAAATGACATCACTGCAACAGCTCCTTCCGTAGTCCAGAAAAGCATGGACATTTTTAAAGAAGTGCACTTTTCAATAAGATTAACCAAAAAAGGAATGTCAAATAGTTTTCATACATTTAA